CATGACCTTGGACAGGTTCCGTGCTAAGATCTTGTAGACATCCGGGAGAAACTATTCAGAGGTCCTTGCATGATGTTGTACAGCTCCTTGTCGTAAAGACAATGGTGAACCCGGTGAACCCCAGACCACCTTGCATGATCCGGTACAGGTTTTTTCGGGGGTCCAAGTGAATTTTGTCACAGGTCTCTGCATGCATTTCGAAGATGCTCTGTGTGCCAGGTGCTTGCATGAGAGTTCTTGTGGGATGCTCTTAGGAAGTTCTTGCGTGAAGATCTTGTTAGATCCTCTAGACTTGAAATCGCGTGGCATTTTTCTAGATTTCCTGATCTGAGGGCCTCCTGTGAGGCCCCGGTCAGTAGACATATTGTGGCTCCTTGTGACAAAAGCACATCCCTGCTGCTGCAGTTCCGAGGCTGCGTAACCTAATCTGCTACTGTTTCCGTAGCTGCTGAAGCCTGTAGCTTCCATATAGATTTCCTATCTGCCGCACTATTTGGGGTCTCTTGACGGTGTAATAAAATCATTTCAATTCCATTTGAAACGTTCTTTCTGAGTGCTGCCAGGCTGCTCTCGGCTCCTCCTTCCAGACTGCTTTCAAGTTTTTTGACTCATCGTGCTGTAGATGGGGACCGGACATTCAATTTTAAAGCCGTGTCAGACCCGTTTCAAACCCTTTGTCGGACAGCCCGTGTGCTGCTGTCAGATTCCCCTCTGTCACAATCTTTTCAGGTTCTGATTCCTTGTGACAAGGTGCTTTCAGATTCCTTACATGAGATTCCGTACATGGGAGTTGGGCATTCAAAGCGCCCGCTTTCAACCCAATATCTTTTCGAAAATGGGAGTTGGGCATTCAAAGCGCCCGCTTTGAACCCTGTATTTTTCGAAAATGGGAGTTGGCATTCAAAGCGCTTGCTTTGAACCCAGTATCTTTTTGAAAGTGGCAGCTGGTAACCATATGCAAATGCTGGTGGGCCAGCTTTGAAGCGGCTTCAACTTTTTTCACGTTTGCCAATCTTCTTTCAAAATGGTTCTCGCTGCTCCAGGTTCCTGTCTGGGCATTTTTTTTGGCAAATTCCTTCTGCAGGCATTCAAAGCGCCAGCGCTGAACGAACATATTGACAAACCAGCAGCTCAGACACGGAACACACTCCTTGAGCAACGTCAAGGCGCACAGCGATCAAGGGGCTCAAAACGTAATATTTACTTCGAGGGCTCAAACAGCCCCTTGATCGCTGCGCGCCTTGATGTTGCTCAAGGAGGACAAATCTAAAAGACGTTTTGAGCCCCTTGATCGCTGTGCGCCTTGACATCGCTCAAGGGGGACGAATCTAAAAGTTTCATCACCTTTAGCACCCCTAAAGTGCCCCTTAGCCTTGCAGCCATCTCAGGCGATTAAGGGGAACGAACCTGTGCCTTTTGATTTTGCTATTGAAAAAATGTCACCTTTTCGCGGTCCTGGCTGCACATGCGGTTAAAGGGGACGAATCTAAAAGTTTCATCACCTTTAACCGACTGTTAGAGTTATAGCGGCCAAGGGGATTGACTGGTCAACGGTTCCTTCGAAAATGATGGTATAGAGGCCTTCTTTCTTTCATTGGCAACTGTCACGTGATTCCAGGTGTGCGTTCCGAGTCTGAGCTGCTGGTTTGTCAGTATGTTCGTTCAGCCCCGGCGCTTTGAATGCCTGCAGAAGGAATTTGCAAAAAATAATGCCCAGACAGGAACCTGGAGCAGCGAGAACCATTTTGAAAGAAGATTGGCAAACGTGAAAAAAGTTGAAGCCGCTTCAAAGCTGGCCCACCAGCATTTGCATATGGTTACCAGCTGCCACTTTCAAAAAGATACCGGGTTCAAAGCAAGCGCTTTGAATGCCAACTCCCATTTTCAAAAAATACAGGGTTCAAAGCGGGCGCTTTGAATGCCCAACTCCCATTTTCGAAAAGATATTGGGTTGAAAGCGGGCGCTTTGAATGCCCAACTCCCATGTACGGAATCTCATGTAAGGAATCCGAAAGCACCTTGTCACAAGGAATCAGAACCTGAAAAGATTGTGACAGAGGGGAATCTGACAGCAGCACACGGGCTGTCCGACAAAAGGTTTGAAACGGGTCTGAAACGGCTTTAAAATTGAATGTCCGGTCCCCATCTACAGCACGATGAGTCAAAAAACTTGAAAGCAGTCTGGAAGGAGGAGCCGAGAGCAGCCTGGGAGCACTCAGAAAGAACGTTTCAAATGGAATTGAAATGATTTTATTACACCGTCAAGAGACCCCAAATAGTGCGGCAGATAGGAAATCTATATGGAAGCTACAGGCTTCAGCAGCTACGGAAACAGTAGCAGATTAGGTTACGCAGCCTCGGAACTGCAGCAGCAGGGATGTGCTTTTGTCACAAGGAGCCACAATATGTCTACTGACCGGGGCCTCACAGGAGGCCCTCAGATCAGGAAATCTAGAAAAATGCCACGCGATTTCAAGTCTAGAGGATCTAACAAGATCTTCACGCAAGAACTTCCTAAGAGCATCCCACAAGAACTCTCATGCAAGCACCTGGCACACAGAGCATCTTCGAAATGCATGCAGAGACCTGTGACAAAATTCACTTGGACCCCCAAAAAAACTTGTACCGGATCATGCAAGGTGGTCTGGGGTTCACCGGGTTCACCATTGTCTCACGACAAGGAGCTGTACAACATCATGCAAGGACCTCTGAATAGTTTCTCCCGGATGTCTACAAGATCTTAGCACGGAACCTGTCCAAGGTCCTGCGGCGTCAGAAGATTTCACCAGTATCTACAAAGATCTTCTCATAAGGACATGTAAGTACAAGATCATACAGGAACGTCTTAGAAGATTTCCACAGGATCAGGATCTCTCAAAAGTCTTCTCACAAGGACCTGTACAAGATCATGCGAGGATCTCGTCAAGGATTTCAGTAGGATCTCTAAGAGATTTTCTCAGTAGAATCCGCACAAGATCACGCAGAAACCTCCTCCAGAAAGTCACCGCGCTCTCTACGAGATCATGTCACAAAGTGAGCACCACGCGTGCCAAGGAGAGCGATCTGACTGGATCTGGCATGGAGGCAGTGGTGAGATGGTTGCATGAGCAAACACAAAATTCGCACCGTGCACTCGTGGGAGCGATCTGACACCCAGAAAGTGCGGAGATGGTTGCAACAGCGATGTCAAAATTCGTACTAGGCTAAAACGAGAGCGATCTGACACGCACAAAGTGCCGAGAGGGTTGCGTGAGTGAAATTTTGCCACCACGCCACAATGAAGCGATTTTTGATAGACGCAAAATGCCGAGGGCCGAGATGGTTGCACGAGCACACGTTGGAGTTTCACCACAAAGACTGTGCGCACCACCAAAAACTGGGGATCGAAAAGCAGCGATGTCTGACCAAGGTTGAAAAAACTTGAAATTAGTAAAGTAAACAAAGTCTAGCGGAAAAGGCATGAAAAATGAGCAAGAGAAATGCGAAGTACCACACAAGCCATGCGAAACCGTCACGTCCCAAATCCAAGATCACAGCAGTGTCACAAAACAAGGCCTGTCAAAACTTGAAGTCCAATTGTAAGAAATATTGTGATGACAGATGGCATCCGCAACCACCTCTCATGCCAACCCACATCTGCCAACGCTTTAGGTCCTTGCAGAAAATCCCATGCCTGCCATGCGAATGAAGAAGTGTCCGATGGCTTGCACCTGCCACGCAAAACAACGTTTCAGACCTCAAAAGTGTCCTGGATGCCCCACGTGTGCCATGAAAAATTGACATAGCTCAAAAAACGAGCACCGCGCGCTGATAAAAGTAGACCTTGGAAAGTGGGCAAAGCGAGAAACCTGTTTTGTGCGACTGCGAGCATGCGCAGTCGAAATGGACATGGACATCTCACAAGGAAACTTTTGCGCGAGCCTGCGCGAACAAAGGCCGAAGATCAGAGCGAGCACCCTGATTAAAACCCGGCCTGTACAGTTACTACGAGACAGCCTTAGTGCGGGCATGCTTTGGGGAGAAAGTAGCATTCCACACGCATGCGAGAGTTCCTGTATCACATGCATTCGTCTTGAAAGGAAAGCCGGATTCTAAAAATGCCCAGAAACCAATCTGAAACACTGTTGAAAGGAGCCTGGAACAAGTCTGAAGGATTTTTTGACCTGTATTCAATTTCCTCTAGAAATGGCTCAGTCTTCACAGGACACGAATTCAAAGCGGACGCTTTGAAAGCCGAGCTCCAATGTAACAAATCTAACAACATTATGCGCAGGAATCTGAAGGAATCTGAAATGAGCAGCGTGCCAGCAATCTGAAAGGAACTTTGAAACATGTGTTCTAGTCAGCATGCAGAAAGAGTAAGCCAATTCAAAGCGGCCGCTTTGAATGCACATCTCCCATGCAAGGAATCTGAAAACACTTGGAAACGCATGGCAAGCAACCTGAAAGCAATGTGGAAAAGCAAGTCGAGAGCAGCCTGGCAGCCTGTGTGTGTGCGCGCGCATGTGTGTCTGATCGTATACAATGATGAAATGTCAGATGCTGTAGGGCTCTTGCTCTGAAAACTCCAGCTGTAAATCTTCCTGAATTTCTTCTCATGCCTGAAACGCTTTTGAGCCTTCAATTGGAACCGTTTCTTGGACATGCAAGATGGTGAAATATGTGCAACATGTCACAGAGTCACAAAGAACGCCAAAGTATTGACCCTTCAAGCTTTGCAGCTCTGAAATTCATGGGTGTTTTGCAGAGACTAGCCGATGGTTTTTCCTGTCACAGCACTGCTTTAGACCGAAAATCTCGAAAGTTGGGATGTCTCCGGTCTAAAAGTTCTGAGGCTCCAGGCAGTGGGCACATGCAAGTGCCATGGTAAAGTATAGAAAAGGGGCTGCGAATGCCGTGGTAATGAAGTCGGGCATGCGCCTGTTCAAGGTGAAATGCCACAACTCCATCCGGACCCTGCATTTTTTTACTAACAGCTGGAAAAAATGGACCATGCCGCATCACCGAGGTACCGCGGCTGGCAATGTGTTGCTGGCATCGACGTCGGCTGACTCGAAGACCTCTGACCTGGACCGAAATGACTCATCCGCAGAGCATGGAATCACCCAATCCAGGCCTCAATGACTCGGGATTCAGCAGGAAATTCATCTCCAACGGCTCCTGCACATGTTGCAAACATGGTTTCACACATGTTTCAAAAAACAAGTCGATTTTAAACATAACTATTAAGATACTACAATAACATCATCATAAAGCCAACATCCATCAACATCCCATCAGATGTTCTGCTGGTTCCAGGGTTCCACATGGTTCCCACCTGCGGCTGGCTTTGGAAGGCCATCATCAGCAGCAGCAGCAGCAAGGGCTGCTGATGTCTGAAATAACTCCAGCTGAAGCGTTGCAAGACGCGGGAGACCACCAGCCACGGCGAATTGCTCAAGGACATTAACGCGGCCGCCACTTGCAGCGATGAATCCTGGACAAAGGGAGGCCTGGATGAATTCCATGGGAAATCACCAGGAAATCACCATGAAACACTCACGAAATCATCATGAAAATATATGAAAATCATCATCAATTGTGAAATCACCATGAAATCACCATAAAAAATCACCATGAAAATCATCAACTGCCATGTTTCACACGAGGCCATGGCCTTCCCAAAGCTTTGCATCAGCCCTTGGGATTTCAGCACCGTAGCGCAAGCTTCTGCAGAGGCGTGTTCCATTTGAAACAGGGACGGCGCGCTGCCAACACCTCAGGAACCAAAAAAGTCGAGTTCGCAGTTGACAAAAAGATGTGCAGCTTCAATGACTCACATTCCAATCAACTTTCATCATCATCATCATCATCATTAATAATAACCATTAATAACCATTATATAACCATTATATAACCATTAACATTAATAAACCACTACCATCATAATGTTTTTCGATGGAGTTTTACCTGACATTTCGATGTGGAGATGCCGCCCCAGGGCTCCGTGCCCAGCTGTGCCAAGCGATGCATGGAGCGGAAGAGCGTCGCACAGCTCCGGGCGGCGCGGAGGAAATTCCGACGTTTCTCCAGGAAGTTGCGACGCTGCAGCAGGGCCTCCGGAAAACGGACACCGGAAACTGCACCCAACTCACCCAACTCATGGGGAAATGATGTGAGATGATGTGATGAAATGATGGGATTGTGGTGTATATATAGATATACTTCTATAGACCTCTGAATGAGTGCAAAAATGATATGAGATTTCGAAGATGTCCTGGCATTTATCATCGTTTCTCATGTTCTCATTGACATGGAGTTATTTTTCAGTGGAGATGAAGTCAATTCTTAGTATAAACCCAGATAAATCAGGTCCAAACGGTGTGTCTCACCAATAAAGATTGGTTGTTTGACTATATTCCACTTCCCAACTGGGCCATATCCAATCATTGCTGCCGGAATGTACCGGAATTTGGGCACACTAGCACTACCCTGAAATCTCATAGTTTAAACACAAGTTGGTGGAAAATCACGTTTTGACACAGCCAATAGGGGCCATATGAGATAGAATTCCAAGCATATCAACCCCACTTGAAGTTTGAAGCATTAATCCCAAGGACTAACCCCAATCATTAACCATTCTTGGTCCACTGCTTCTTGATCAGAAACAGCTCCACCACAATTATCACGAATTCTCAACCCAATAAAGCAAAAAAAAAATCACCCCATTGACCAAACCAACATCCATTAACCAAACCAACACTCATCATATCATATAATTAATCCCATCCCCCTAATATGAGTCCACCCCCCATTTATGGTCCCTTTTTTAAGTTTTTAACCACCAGTCACCATGGTGGACCCTGGTGGTGAAACTCACCAGACCTCCTGGTTCATCTCCTGTAGTTCGCAGCAGCGACACCGCGAAGTGCTGATCTCGGACATCAAGTCGTTATCGCCCAGGATGCCGGTTTTGTGACTGGCGCCCTCTGCCAACCTGAGGGATGCGTCGAGGATGGGGAAAGATGGTGGAAAACCTGCGAGGTCGAGATGGCAAAAAATGGGGAGGAAGAAGAAGAAGAAGAGCAACAGAAAGAAGATAAAAAAAGTCATAGGCTGGACAAAGTGAGGTCAAAGATTTTTGTTGAGCGACAAAAGCTGGATCTTCTCTTCCAGCTGCAGAAATTCTCGTTGGTTGCTGGGGAAATCCTTCAAACTCGCCACCTGGCATGGTGCGGCATGGTGAGGCATGGTGACCAGAGTCGATCTGGGGCAGCGGCTTCACCTACTAGTAGTTTCGACCTGGATAGAGACACTCTCCAATCTCCATCCTGTATATGGGTAAATTATACTATTTCACATACCTGAATTAAGGCTATTTGGGGATGATTTCCCATTTTCCCACCATTTTCCCACCATTTTCTCATCCGGCCCGGCCCGGCCTGCAACTGGAGGGGTTCCTTAGACATGGCCCGCAGCAGAATCTGCTCCACTTCCACCACCTCGAAGTTCACCACGTCCAGCGGCGATAGCGCCAGCGATCGCCATGGCAGATCTGGAGTCACCACGAAGATTTTGCCTTTGCCTGACCAAAATGAAGATTCAGATGATGAAAAATCAGCAAGAATCATCAATTTTCATCAAAAAACATCAAAAATCATCAAAAATCATCAAATTTCATGAGCTATGGATGGGATGGGATGAGATGACAAATACTTCTGTATATGTGGATTTTTTTGTGGATTAATGAATGGATGGATAGACATTGATGGAAAATTGATGGAAAATTGATGGAAAATTGATGGATATAGGTGATCTATCGTATTTGCTATGGATGGTATATATTGTGGATGTTGGGTGACAACCACCAAGCAGAATCGTGGGCCGTGACGACCTGCCTTTCTTGCTCTTTGAATCTTTCTCCTGCAAAGTTCCAGTCACAAAAAAAACAGTGCGAACAACATCTGGGTATGGATCAATACCTATTAATACCATTTTTAGTGGGATGAACATCCATTTACCAGCTATTTTGATGTTCACCAGGGGTACAAGGTTTTTCCCACTGCCATCTGAATCAAAGAGACAGGTCTTCCAGTCTTCCATGTGGGACATGTCGACCAATGAGAACAGCACAAATCCACAGCATTCCGCGGTTCCGCGGCAGCGCTCCTCTTCTCCCAGACTGGCAGATGATTTCGCGGGTGAGCCCTGGCTCACAGTCCACAGACACCGTCCCATCCGGTGGTTTACTGTGACGGATCAAGTCACATGTCAAAACCTATGTTCAAAAAAAATATGAATATGACTGGCTGAACACCCATGACCAGACATCTCTATTTTCATGATCTGAATCGGTGTGAACCTCTGAACCACTCAGGTCTCACCCCGCTTACCCCGATCTCGGATCTTCACCAACTGGTTGCTCCACCTTCGGCTCTTTTTGCTCCACCTCTGGTTGGTAAAACTCCACCACACAGGCTGGCAGCTGGTCTGTAACCCCCAGCAGCAATAGGCTACGGCCTGGCTTCGAAAGGAACAACTTGGAATCCACAAAATTGAGGTCGTTGATGAAATCATCCAATTCCTCAATCTCTGTTCATATTGTTCATTGGCTTATATATATATATATATGTGAGTTGACTATGATGTAATATGATAATGATGTGTATAAACTCAAGTCATTATCCAACATTATCCAACACTAATGACTTTATCCAATGTCATCTGATTTCAAATCATGACTTGATCCTACTCCTTTGGATCCAAACTTGTCTTCGTGCCTTCTTGGCAATGCTGAAGGGCCTGTGGCAACTTGGGGCTGCCCACGTGTGTGACAAAGTCCACTCTCTTCCGCAGCCAGGATAGAGCCTGCGACGACGCCTTTTCGACATCGTGGGGATGATGATACATCTGATATATGGATTGATTTTGTGGGTTGATATATGGATTATTGAATATTATAATGATATATAATGATTAATGATCAGAGATTCTGATGCAAATCGAAAAACTGATGGAAAGAACTTTGAAAGAACCATCTTCAAGACAATCATGTCAAAGCATCATGTGATTTATGAACCTTTATGAACCTTTATGAAGCTGTTTGAAGCTGCAAAATGACGATCTGCCCTGCGGCCTGTTCTTGAGGATCCACACAGAGGGGTCGGAGAACATGCGAGGCGATGGCAGCAGATTCAGCCAAGACCCGTGGAAGACCCATGGATTGCCATTCATCCGTCACCAGCTGATCCAAGAGAAAAGTTGGGAGAAAATTCTCAAATTCATCGCCTTCGGATTCTGAAGAAGCTGCATCGCCTTCATCGCCTTCATCGCCTTCATCGCCCTCATGGTCCTCATGGTCGTCATGGTCGTCATGGTCGTCATCACTATCTTCTTGATCTTCCCAGGGTAATGCTTGAGTTGACAGAGTCAGAGTCAACTCATACCTGGAAAAAATCTGCGTGTGATTCTGTCAGATTCGCTGCAAAATGGACGAAAACTCAGCTGCGAACCGCAGAAATTTCCCTGAAAGAGAGGAAAACACTGGGAAAAAACTTGTTTCAGAAAAAAATGCTGGAAAAATACGGGAACTTCAAAGCACAAAATCACTGGAAACCCCAGAATACAGTATCAACCGTGATTCACATTGGTTAAGCATTGGCCCTAATAATTGATCATGAACGCTCCTTGATTGTTAGGACCATGATGAAGACCAGTATTAAGCCTGGATTATAATGTTTAATGTAATCATCAACCCTTGTGATGATCTTAACCCTTTTTAATCCCACTAGTACTTACAGTACCCCCGGTGTTTGGATATCTCTGAAACAGGGCAAATATCCTAATGAAACATCACCCAACTATTGGGGATAGTTCATCTTCAACAGATACAACTCTTCAAGTAATGTGAGTTGATGCGACTACGTGTTTTTAAAAAAGGCCATCACAGGACATTCATGTTGAAATATCTTGAAATATGTTGAAATCATGTACATTCGTTCATTGCTCCATTTCCCGATATTTCCCGTGAAAAATCCCTACAGGTGGCCATCGATCCAGGTGACTCTTGGAAGATTTTCACCAAAGCTTTGCGTCGCATGGCCCGTTCCGCCGGCACCAAAGGAGCCATGGAGATCACCGCAGCCACGAAGAGACCTGAAAAAAAGAAAGCCGTGAAGTCGGTGATGACTAACTTAGCCATTCTATAGATGGCCCATAGAAATAGATGGTTTACATATGGTTTACCGTTCTTAAAAAATGGGTGGATTTTCCATGGCTATGTTAGTCATAACCAGATGGTACCTGGTGTTCATCTCCTATTTTCATTTTATGAGTTCATTGACATGTTTTTGACATGTTTTTTTTGGAAATGATCAACGTGTTTCACCATTTTTGGCACTGAAAAAAAAAGGAATTTTATCCAAAACGCAGTCCCAGCAGCATTCATTGGGTAAATCCGTGGAGCTGGCGCGAAGGGATTCCAGGTGTTCTTCCCATCTTGGTCGTGTGGTGGACAGTCCTGGCCCACTGCGACCATGTTTCGCGTGGCGTTGGATATCGTTGGACGTTGTAAACTGCAGATAATGAGAATAATGATAATGATAATGATATATAATGATATAATGATGATAAATTGTTTATCATCATTGCGGTTTGATGTTGTAAATTGATGATTACATTAAACAAACTGGTGATAATGATGACTGGTGACTGATAGAGGGATTGATGATGACTGGTTATGACTGCTTATGACTGCTTATGACTGCTTATGACTGGTTATGACTGGTTATGACTGATGGTTGGGTGATCAACTTTGTTTTGCAAGTATAGGATCTTCAGCCTAAATCTGTGTGGGAACTGCGGATCTGAACATGATCTCGTGTGGCTGGTCTCCTTCGATATTCATCACTCGATCTGCAACGCTATGCTGCTGTTTCTTTGCCTCGTGCTCCTCCACAATGACATTCCTAGGCCGTGTTGAATCATCGCTTCTTCATCAATTCTTCATCATCATCATCATCATCATCATCATCAATTCTTCATCATCATCAAAACATATACTCATAGGGCTATCACATGTTCTCACCACAGTCATGGCCTCATCCACATTCCGAATCTCCATCTGCAACAATTCGCCCTGGTTTTTGGGATACCCCACAGGTCGTCTTCGGCTTTGGAAAAATCTTCCTCCGCCTTTTCCGCCTTCTTTTGGGTTCGTTCCAGTTCCTCCTGTACCGAGAAAAAGGCCAGATGGAAAGGTGTCACATGGATTAATGATATGATGCTGACATGATGCATAGAGATAGAAAAAAATGATCAAAGGACTGCCAACAACCGGATAAATGATCTCTCAAAATTCTCAAATTCCTCAACTCTTTGTGGAGATGGACATGTTTTTTTTAACATAAACCATGGATAACCATGGGACCATGGGAATATCACCCATTGGACCCATCCCTACAGCCCCTTCTCGGATCCTCTTGGAGCTTGACTTTTCGACTCGTGACCTGGACTTCTTCTTCCTTGCGAGTCACTTCCTCACGGGATTCGGCCAAAGATCGATACACCTTAGAACGGCCAGTGACCAGAGCTTGAAAAGAATCAACAGAGCAATAAGTGACCAGAGGTTATTATTCCAGATTATTCCAGATTATTCCAGATTATTGATAATAAGTGCAACAATCATCAATAATGAATAATCAATGATCATCAAATGATTCTGGAATAATCATTGATAATCAATAATCAATTATTAAATAATCATCAATAATGAATAATCAATGAGCATCAAATGATTCTGGAATAATCAAGAATCATCAGCGGGAATCGACAATGATCAACAGTGATCCAATTTGATTTGTCAAGGGTTTGGCTCCGTAGGGACGACGTAAATGTGACAGTATTGGTATTGGTATAACGGCAAACATCACTGCATTTGAACACTATTTTGACATCAACATCCAATTATTTCCCTTTTTGATGTGCTCAAATGCTGGTTTCCCTTTATTTCCCAATCATAAAGAAACCGATACCAATCAATAATCAATATAATGAATAATCTGGAATCATCATCAATGATCAATAATCATTTAACCACATCATCTAACCACATCACGGTGGTGTCCCAATACTTTCCACGTGTTCCCGGAATTGATCTGTGGCATCCGTGGCGCATCGTCATAGGAGGACAAGGCCCGAAGCCACACGGCGATGCATTTGGCGGCTTTGCTCTGGGATTCCACCAGCGCTGGAGGGCACTCACTCACCTGCGATATATATATATATATATTATTATATATATATTATATTATGTATATATATATACATATATATATATATTATTATTATATATATATATACATTCATTACATATTACATTAATTACATATTACATATTACATATTACATTACATAAATACATAATATAATATTTATAGTTGAATCATGTTGATATCTCACCTGGTTTAGATGGCACAGAAAAGATGGCACAGAAGTGATCTCAATTTCACTCCGACTCAACTGATCGGCCATGGCATAAATAGATTACTGGTTGGTGGTTGAGCCACCCCTCTGAAAAATGATGGAGTTCGTCAGTTGGGATGATGACATTCCCAATATATGGGAAGATATAATTCATGTTCTTCCAAACCACCAACCAGATTATAGTATATCTCGAAGTTGGAGACCATCCCAAACTTCAAGAACTTGACGGTTTCGATATTTTTCCAGCAACTCTTGGTTCAAAAACCGGAATTGGAAGCCCTGCAAAGGTCGATGTTCTGATATTTTCTGCCTGAGCTTTGAGCTTTGCAGCAACACCCTCGGGAATGCTGTCCTGCATTGGAAACGACCGGGAAATCTAGCCAACTTATGAGATGTGAGATGTTTGTTTCCTCATCCACATCACCAAATGTTAACAAGGTTGACCCATACCCCATGGTGATCATTGCGATCTCTGGAAAAAAGGACCGCAAAACTGCTGCAAACTCCATTGAAACAGCTACAAAACTGACAAACAAAAAAATCCCCGGAAGAAAAAACGGAACATTTTCCGATCCGCAAATCCCACCAACCGTTGAAACCCGGTTGTTCGGCATTTTCGACATCTCGGCTCCTTCTCAAAGTTCCGGAAGCGTTTCCCGAAGTTGTTCTCCGAGATCAGGGTTTTGGCGTTCGCCCAATCGGTGGGACATCCGAAGAGAAGCGCCACCAGCTCCATGACCATCAGCACCAGACTGGGAGGGGAACCGAAGTTCCGCAGTTCCGTGATGTCTTTCCTTCGCAGATTTTGCCAGTATCTTGCCAAAGGAATGATGGAAATCATTAGTGTGTATATATATATATATATGTTTTTATGTATTACAGTTTAATAATGGGGATCAAATTGGAAATCATCTGATGTAATCGGAGATGTATCTATAACCAACAATGCAAAATAATGCTAAGGATGAGGATATTATTTTGATAATGACCAACATAAAACCATTAAACATGTACATATATATATATGTGTGTGTGTATTCATAAAATCCTTCATATTTGGAACAGGTTTGGTCTTCATCAGCAACATCAACAATATGCTCATTGTCATATTGTTTTATGACCATGATTGCAGACCACAGTAAACAAACATGTTTGTTGCGATTGGTGATATCAATAGTTCAACACTTCAAAATATCACCGATGATCTCACAACAAAACCGAGATCAAGATCATCACCAGATCATCGAGCAGATCACCAGCTCAAAGCTGATCTAAGCGTCTTGTCGACCTTATCAAAAGCTTTCGTGGCGTTGCGCAACGGCGCCAGGACATTCTCCAAAGTACCTGCGACACCGAGCACTGCGGTCGACACTGATGCAGTATGGCATCGCCGGCATCGCCGGCGCTATCAAGTTCACTTTGCAATCCACTTGTATCCATGTGAACTTGATATTCAATGTGGATTGTATTGCTGGTGAATATCCAAGACTTTCTTGAAAGTTCCATTGGTTCGTCAAAATTCACCAGAATATTCACGATCTGCTGATATCCAGTGCGCACTTTTGATGGAGGCATTCAAAGTCTTCACCTCTTCCTCTTGAGTCTCCATATCATCTTCAGTTTCCCTCATTTTTTCCTGCACAAAGCTGGGTTTTCTTCAGAATTTGGCAGCGACTTGAAGTCAAGTACCTGATACCTGTGGTGGCTGTGCACACTTCTGAAGCCTACAGATCCTCAGGATTCTGGATCAAGAAAAAGTGCCAAATGCGATCTGCTCCACATGTTAACATCTGTAGAATAACCAAGAAAATCAACCCTGAAAATCAGCAAATCCCGGCAAATCCCCCCAAAATATCATCCAAAACCCCCCCATCTTGGCGGACAATCCCTTTTTTGCACTCCTTACAGGTCTTCACTTTGGCCCGGGCGTCATCGCTTTTCTGCCGCTGCTGCACCAAGACCTCCCGTTGTTTGGTGATGCGCTGGGTCAAGTGCTCCACGCTGCTGCCCAGATCGGCCAACATCGACGGCAGGGCGTTGAGGTGCGCCAAGGCGGCATGGAGACGATCGCGCCTTGGGATTGGCGGCTTGGCAAATCCTATTGAAGTCCTGGTGAATGGGGAACACACATGGTGAACTATAGCCATGGAAAAACTGGATTAACACTGGATGTATTTAGGAAAAACTATAACTATAACTATAGAGAAATGGAATATGATGTTTTTTTCAAAAATGCTGGAAGATCAATTTCCTCCAATGCTTGATGGAACATGATAATTTCTCACATATTCTTCAATGATGTTGATGGAAATGATGTCAATCTGTGGATGGTGCACCAAGCAACTCCTGGTTGTTTCGCTCCCTTTTGGCCTTCAACAGATCCACGTAGCTCTCCAACAACACCACGAAGCTCCTGCCACATCCAGGCCATCCAGGGCTGGTGGAGAAACACCAGATTTCTGCAACCCAATCCCGGTCCTGAGGCTGCCTTCCTTCTCCTGTCCGGTTCAACAGTGCAAAAGGAGCTTGGAAGCACTTGGAAGCATCATTTTCTGATGATGTTGCGGATGTTAAAAAAAAAAAAAAACATCCTTGACACTACTTGACACCATTCCAAAATTTCGCCAGACACCCATTTTCTACATCCAAGACTTGCCATTTTGAGTTGAGTATGAGTTGAGTTAACCATCCCGGACCATCCCATATGTTTTCCAATACTTTCCTGTTGGGTCATATTTAAAATCAAAGAAATATGGAAAAATCACTGAAAGATCCCGCTGGTTATCCAGTCCACCCAGTACATCGGCATCCTGTGCCGCTGCTGCAGCATGGGATAAGGACTCTGAGAGGTGAAAACCTCATGGAATCACAGAGGGATCGATGGCTTTTTGGGTGATAAAAATGGGATGCTTAGAATAGAAATCCCATAAAGTCTCCACTGTGTTATCACCATTTATATCATCCACGTTTTTGTTGGTCATCATTAGAAACATTTTAAATGTGCGGGTTGGATTTTTAGATCTCCACCAAAAACCCATGTTTTCCCAGCTGTTTTTTGGATCATCGTCCAGAAATATCGAGCAACCACTGGTGGCCAGGCCCTGTAAGGACTCCGCAGACCAGGCTTCCACATGGACCACGCTGCAGCTGCGGAAGAGACTGCTGCAGTCCAGGCTGCTGCTGCGCATCGAAGCCAGAGAGGTGCTGTTGGGAGAAATGCACAACACCAGGTGCAAATGGTGGTGAACACCTGGAATGGGCAAAATGATGGGCTGGATGTGTTTTGTGATGGTTTTTTATGTTCTGTTTTTGTGATGATTTCCCAGCTCGATTGTGGTGTGATCATCATTGGAGACTATGATCACACATGTTCTAAGTGAACACTTTGAGTTGAGTCAGTGGCAGTTGAGGCGGTGATTTTCACCAGCAATTCATGGCTCGCCGATTCACGAGGGATTGGTGACTGGGATTACACTCAACTTTTGTGAGTCAACTGAGACCAGTTGACTCCGTCACTTTGGGAGTGCCAAGCAACGGTCCAAGAACATCTTCCATGCCTGTCAACGGAGCAACAGAGAAACCGGAAACAGCTGGAAACAGCTGGAAACAGCAGGAAACAGCTGGACATTCATCTGACAACGGCAGAAGTGGACCCTTTGTTTCTGCAAATTGGATCGGGTCAACATCGTTTAACAGTTTAACCGTTTTAACCAATTCTGCCATTTTGGCCACCATACAGCTGGTGGCAGAATTGGTAAAACTGGAATCCCCAAAGCATCCAGCTGAGCCAAGTGGCTGAAGGTGAGTCCTGGTCTAAGTCTGGCGCCTCACGTATCCTGCGATGATGACGACGATGACGATCAACAAATTTGGGGCACCATAAAAAGCCACAAAGACCCACAGAGTTGGTGTTTTTGGTGCTTCACCATCCATTTTCTAAGGAAAACTCTTAAACAATTCTTAAACCATAGCCAGCAAAGGTCTTTTTTCAGATTTTGTTCCAGATGTGAAAACAGATAAAACAGTATGAACATCTACCAGCCGCTCGGATCTGCTTGGATGCTTCGCCAGGTGACGTGTTGTGCGTTTCGATTGGATTGCAGAGATCCGTCACATGGCCCAAGTCCAACACGGCCCAAACGAGGTCGATGATCTCAGACAAATCCTGCGCAAAAAAGAGGCGGGTGATCAACGTCCTCACATCACATGTGAGGCATAGATGGCATAGATGTTTATAGATCGTTGATGTTCTACGTTGCACCAAGGATCACTAAGGTCTCATGGTTTTTTGACCGATACCGCAAAAAAAACCACATGCGAATCATCTGCCATGGTGTGTCATTTCAGGCGGTGAAAGAGGTCAAATTCAACAGTGCAGGTGAAGATTGGACAGCGGTGCACAAAAACATCCTTTCCTCTCAGCATGGATTTGCCCAAAACTCGGGCAACCCCATTCCGCTGGTTTATCATCATGTCCGGTCTCAAAAGAGTGTCTCTTCACTTGGATGGTACATCCCATAAGACATTCCACATTCCACAAAACCTTTCACAAGATATTCCAATAGATATTCCATTAGATATTCCATTAGATATTCCATTAGATATTCCCAATATTCCCAATAGCTTCCCCATTCAACCAGAAATCCAGGTGATGTAAAGATGATGTTTTCACTGTGAACTGCAGCTATCAGCTCCTCCAAAACCACGAAGCAGTCGCATTGCTTCACTCCACAGGTGCGCCAGGCCACTTTGAGAAGCTGCCGAAATTGCGCTTCCGACGGGACCTCCTGGCAGAAACCATCCAATAAAAATCTCGTATCATATGGGTATGGATCAATACCTATATACATACCATTTTTAGGGGGATGAACATCCATTTACCAGCTATTTTGATGTTCACCAGGGGTACAAGGTTTTGACACACTGCCATATCTGCCATATGATTTATGTATTGATTTATGATGTGAAAACTTCATATACCACACTATCAGACACTATCATCATCTGTGATATATTGTGATATACCCGAAAAAATCGTCGCTTAGATCATTCTCCAAGAAATCTCCCAGAAATTCCAGGTCCTTGGGGGCGAACTGAATGCCATCCAGGAGATGAGTTGCCATGGCGGTCAACGTGTGACGACCACTGCCCTTCAGACCCAGCAGCAGCGCGTGACTGCGAAATAAGGCGCCGATTCTCAAAAGACCTGTCGGTCACGAGGTGACCATCATGGCTTTCCCTGTGGGGAAGCCTAAAATGCTGAGCAAATACCTGAGCTACCTGGACTTGTTTTCATGCTCCGTTAATTGGGGAAAAAAAAAACATAAACTGGAGAGTTTAAAAAGATGATTAAGATTAATTAAGATTAATATGATCTTCAGATTCTATCATCTTCAGATCATCGTTCACCATCTTTTTTCGTCACCATCTGCCATCACCGTCCGTGATCTTCCATCATCTTCCCACTGAGGGATGAACCATGAACCTCTCAGTTTGTTCTCAATTGGGATGGTTCATAGATCAAACATATCCAAAACAGTGTTGAATAGATAAGTTGATATAAGTTGATATAAGCTGATTATAAGCTGATTATAAGTTGATATAAGTTGATACAAGTGATATTTTTATATGATATAAATTAATGATATTTCTAAGTGGGTCGTTCCATGTTAGTCATCTCGTTAGTCATCTCAAATCATCTCAATGTCATGGCACAACAAAGGTTGTTGACCATCTCATTGGACAGAAATAAGGGACTTCGAAGGCCCTCTCGCAGCCTCGCAACGTAACCGTTTTGGCGTAACCACTGGGGATCCAGTTTTGGGGATCCTTCACCTCAACATGGGATGGTCTATAGAGTCTATGATGGCTTTGGATGGTTTATTATGAAAACCATCATGAAAAAATCTCGAAAAATTAAGGTCTACTATATGAAAAGCATGAAGAATGGATCTCAAAATATCGGGAACTTTGAACCACCCCCATCTGGTGGCAAAGACTGCGACCAATGGCATCAAGAAAACAAAATACTGTGGTGGTTGCCATAGATTGAACAATAAAACAAAATAACGAAGTGCAAATAGGGGATTTGAGTTCTTTTGAATTATTCAGGCTTCATTCTCTCTCAATCAACCTTCTCTTGCCGCAATTCATTTTCTAAGCATTTCTTGGGTGAGGAATTCCGTGCCATCCGAAATCTCACATGCTCTGCACCAGATTTCAAGATCCTGTTGGTCGCAGATTGTCTCCTGACACTCCTGAACTAACCAGAATCTAACCTGAGGTTCTATTGGTGTTGCTAAAGTCATGTGACTTTTATGACAAAAAAAAACAGTACTTAAATTGATAGAAATCCTGGCAGTTCGAATTCCAGTTCCGGTGAGATCTGCCTGGTTTCCTCAAGACAATCCTGCATGGTTTTGAGCATGGCTTCCTCGTTGGCTTTTTCGTAGGGTTTGGCCACTGAGCCCGACAATCTCTTGATGAAGCCTCGGGATGAAATGGATGAAGTGACAGCGTCATGGCATCTGGTGACAGATCGGGTCTGCTTCGATCTGCGGGGTCTCTAGCCATTAGGGAAGACTCAAAATATCTCAAAATCACATCGAAGTTGAATTCCAACATCTCAATATCTCAAAATATCTCAAAATGTTAACGCTTGTTATCATTGTTATCGTGTTCTGGTGCAGTTCCAACAGTTCCAACATCAAAAAGCGACCAACATCAGCAATTTGGGATGGATTTCCTTCAGCTGAGCTGCGTAAAGAGTTGTCTTCGGGTTTCCATTTCACACCGAAGTCCTCCACGAGACCTCGCACTGTTGCCTGGAGAAAAAACCGTGCCAGGTCCCAGGTGCTGCCAGGTTGCCAAGTTTCCAAACATGTTATAACTATCTATGGATATTCAAAACAACAACTTCCCATCAAACGCCTGAAATCTGCGACTTAACAGACTTAACTGATTCACTTTTGAGAGCCCAATATCAGCACAGCTGCCACAGCTGCCACCTGGTTTTTTCGGACCAAAATCCAGCACCAAACTACCATCAATTGATCTGTTCAAAGCTTGGGATCCACATCCAAATCAACCAACATCATTTTTTTTGGAAACGTTTCATATAGAAAAATGGGTCAAAAAATTGGGATCGGTCGTTCAAGTTGATTCAACAAACCCATCCAAAATCCATCCAAAATCCATCAACATTCATCCTCATCATCCAACCTGGAAGAGTTGTTTGTGGATGCTCATCTGTAGCTGATCCTCAAAGACCCGCGACACTTCGTGAATCCACAGCCGATGCAGATCCGCAGTGGCGAAGTTCGGATTCTCCAGGGCCAGGGTGAGGCCTTGCATCACCCGGCCGATGTCGCGGAGGCTCCACCTGGGCCCAGCCAGGCCCAATGGATGCTCCCAACAGCCCAGTTGGGCCCAGTTACCCTCTGGTAAACATACAAAAAACGATGGAAAATCACCATGTTTAGTATTTTTAATGGGTAAATTGCGGTAAATCCACTATTTCGACTGGGCCAAATGGCTTCAATGGCTTTGTTAAATGTTTACCAGTGACGGTAGTGTGTTAGTTTACGGTCAAATCAGACGTCCCAACCTGATCATTCCAACCTGATATCAACATCTCACCCATCTGAACAAGGCAGCTTGAAAACTGCCAAACCATTTCATCCACATCAAAAACATCCACAAAATCTCCATGTCAAAAATCTCCATCTCCAGGCACACATAACCGGGCGATTTCCAGCTCCGCTTGAAATTTTGCGTCACGAAGTCGTAGATCTCCAGGGTATTTCGGATGCAGCTCACCGTGATCGTCGCCCCCAAGGCATGGGCTGCTACCAGGTGAGCGGCTGAGCTACTCACCTGCCGTTGCATGGTCTCCTGGTGGACGGTGTCCACTAGATTTCCATAGAGGTCCAACCTGGGGATTTCGGATGCAGATTTTCTCATGGGAAAACCATGGTGGTTTTGGGGGTAAACCAAGCTGGATAGGATTTTCACATGTTTTTCACATGTTTTTCACATGTTTTTCATGGCGATTTTGAATGGTTTTGATGGTGGGATGCTGCAGAGAATCTGGGAAACATGGGGAAAACATCAGGAAGTTGATGAAAACCTGTGGAAAAACATTGATGAATTTCATGGGATGTCAGATAATAGGCATCCAAAAACAAGAAATGATCAAGACAGAAATAAATATCCAAAAGATGTGTAATGTAAAGTCAACTCTTGGGAAAATACAGATCAAATAAACTACTGTAATCAAAAACATATAGTGGCGTTAAATCATCAAAACAACTAGGCACTGATGATATCTGATGACTAAAACCATCAGCAAATCGGAAAGTCGGAAAGTCCATCAACGATCATCAAACCATCTGGTGATCCATGGTTTGCTGGAAAATCTCCCAGCAAAAGTTCACTGATTTTCCCGTTTTTATTCGATGTCCGGAGGGCAAATCCACCCCCCATCAGGTAAAACCACTAGTCACTAGTTTATCCACTAAATCACTGTCCACTCTGTTGGGGATACCCTCTGGTAAACATACAAAAACTATGGAAAATCACCATGTTTAATGGGGAAATCCACCATAAATGGGCCATGTTCAATAGCTTTTTGTATGTTTACCAGAGGGTAGAAAGATCCTTAAACAACTGGTTGAAAAGCACCAAAACTTACCACCCAGTGACAAACTCGTCTTGTTCCACTCCGCCAAGCGTAAGCGCAGGCCCATGTGGCGCCACAAGCGACCACAGATGGCATTGCCCTGAAAAGTTACAGCTGGATCAACGGGATGGAAAGCTCCCTAAAAATGATGGATGTTCCATTGAAAAATGGGAATTTAACTGGAAAATTGATCGTCTATAGTCCAAAAACATGTTTTTTTTCCAGCCATGTTTGAATACCGGAACCCTTTTTTGCCATCTAAGGTGATTCGGTGGCAACTGTGATTTTATCATCCATAATTGGGGGCAATCACTAACCTCTTACCACGGAAGGTTTGCATTCACCAGACCATCCATCAGTTCCATGATTGTAAACACAATTTTTACCCAGGTTCATCCATTTTGACGAATATATTCCAACACACAAGAAATCCATCAAATCATATCCGACCCAGCAATCATGAAATCAACTGAGCCTCTGCACACGCCGTCAGGGTGGGCTCCAGTTTTTGGGAAGACCAAGTGCTGCGATCGTAGAGTTCACCTGGCTCAGTTTCTACATCTGTTTTGGTGACCTGACAGTCTGACAGAAATAAGGGAGGGGGGGCCCAGGGTTATATCAAAAGCTGACTTCTATGATCACTCATAGATGTCAGAGTCATGGGTTATGATGGTTATGTTTATAGGTTCATTTAAGCTGAGGGAATCAAGGCATGATGGACGTTCACCCACCGTTTGCATAATCATTATGAGATGTTTGCAATGACCAACATGCTGGGCATGTTAAGCTGCCGCACTCCCAATGCTCTTGCGCGGAACCCAGGCCTGTTTCCAAGAACTGCCGCAAGAATTCCAGCACCGGTCTCACTCCCGTGTTGCTCTTGGGCGCCATCGCCAAATCATCCACGATCACCCGCACTCTGCGGCTGTCGCCATCGGATTCGGAGACGGTCCGATCCCAGCGCAGGTCCTCCGATTGGAAGGTCTCCACGGGGGCCGTGGCCGCCGAGGACGTGGCCACCGTAACGCTGTGCGACGGCATCCGATGCAACGGGGTCCCCGTCGCGGCCGTCGCGGTGCCCGCGTTGAGCGCCAGGCTGCCGGAACCCACGCGCTGCGGAGCGTTCGACGGCAGCGCACCCAGGGCGTCCACGGCGGTGTCACGGCGGAGCTCCAGTTCCAGGGCTTTCTGGAAGATGTCGGAGGAACTGCGGCGACCCACACGGAGATCCGCCTGGAAAATCATGGACAAAATCTGGTTGAAACGGGGACATTCATGGAGAATCTGTTGGGAAAATGGACGAAAACATACGAAAACTCGTGACCAGTTTGGCCAAGGAGCAACAGTAGACCCGGACCGGGCGACCTGAAACCGCAGGGCCAAGATTTAGATTCCGTTTCGGAATGTGACAATGACACAACAACGCCGTGACACAAGGCGAAAAGAGCTGAAAGAAAGATGATATAAGGAAGATGAATGATGAAGCAACAAGACATCTGGAGTCTAACCAATGAATGAAGAGCATGATGTCACTTGACTGCCTTTGGACCTGTTTGAACTGCTAAAAGAGGATGTTGCGTGAAGAACATCTGAACAAAAACCACATAAATCCCAAACATTTCCAAACCAGATTTGTTTTGGCCATTTTGGGGACGATTCTCCCCCAAGGAATCACCATGGAAAGCTACACGCAAAATTGTCATAAATCTTCCGGCCTGAGACACAAACTCCTGGGCCAACATCGTCCTTGCAGGATCCAGTGACTCATCATCCCATGCATCTAATGACTTGCCATGTTCTAAAGAAACCACTGGTTGTATCCAATGTGTCATTTGAGTCATGTACAATTAAGAAAACAATAGAGAAACCAATGGTTGTGGGGTAGCACAATTCTAAGAATCAAGTCATCCTTAGGCCCCAATCTGAGTCCAGTTTTTGCCAAGAGTCTTGCCGCAAGTTCCAGTGATCAAGGTGTTGTGACTACCTCAAATCATCTGGACAACATCTGGATTGAAATTCTCTTCCCGTACAGCCATCATGCTACATTCCCCATTTTTGGACAGACCCAAATAGTTTATAACTGTTCTTCCAACATATGACGCCTGACCGGCAACATATACGACCCCCCATGACCCCCCATCACTGGCTACGGATTCCGCAGCCAAATGACTCAGGCGAATGTTCAACAGCCACAGCATCGCTTCGCTTTCCAATGTTGGGATGCGGGTCATGTTGTACGGCAACGGCACCGAAACATCCAAGTCGAAGGGTCGCAAGTGTGGTGCTGTGGCATCCAAACGCCTGATTTGTTTGCTGTTGTTTTTGATATATTGTACAGACTAAACATAATATATATATAAATACATACATACATACATGTATGCATGCATGCATGCATGCATGCATACATATACATACATACATACATACGTACGTACGTACGTACATACATACATACATACATACATCCATACATACATACATAAATACATACATATATTTTATGATATTATATTATATCATATCATATCATATTATATTATATCATATCAGATCATATCATATCAGATTATATTATATTATATTATGTATATATATATATACCTGGGAACCCCAAAGCAAGCTTTTTTTCCATCATTCGGGGTTGACACATTGTTTCTGTCACTAAGGGTTTGTTGGTTCGATTGAAGGCCCGATCTGAAGAACCCAAATACGTTCTGTTAACGCGCGTGAAGTCAAAAAAAACCTGTGGTTTTTTATGGGGTTTTATACATATTGTTCGGCATTTTTCTGGCGAATTGTCGGGTCAATCAAATTGACATGTTTCTTCCATCAAATGCTACTTATGTTCAGTCAAGATGAAACAGGCACATACCGTCTGTTGACGATTTTTTGCAGTCATTACGGGAAAAAGCATGCGAAGTTGGAAATTCGACTATGAAAACATGTCATTACTAGTAATACGGCATATGACCGAAAAACATTGACGTTTGGGTTCCCAGGTATATATATATACATACAAACAATTCATTCATGTGCATTCCTTTTCTTTCTTTTCTTCGTTTTCATCGTTTTCATCGTTTCCTTGTGGCGACTGCAGTTTTTTTCAAACCCCCAAAAAGCGGAGAAACTCTCCAAGGACATGGATCAAAATTCAACCGCTTCGACAAAACCATCACTTGTGAAGCCCGCTTCAAAGAAACTCCGCCCTGAACCATCTCTCAACCATCTCTCCAAAAAAGATCCCAGATCCCAGATCTGTCTCAAAATAACCATCGCAGAACAAGTCATCAAGTCATATCACTTCACATCTAGAATCTTCAGTAAAATTTCATCATCCATATGTTCATCATGTATCATCATGTCATCATGTTCATCCAATCTTTCCATCATCCCATCCAGTCGGTTTCAGAAAATCTTTCATCCCAGTTGCGTGTGGAAGAGATTCTGCCGATAGAGCTGTGCTTCCGGCAGTTGCTTCATCCGTTGCAGACACCAGCCGCTGATTTCCGACTGCTTCGCGGGACATGAGGAGCCTAAGGACCAGGCTAAGGCCATCGTCCAGGTGGCCAAAATGAAGTCCTGGAGCAACGAGATGGCGCCGTTGCAGAAACATTTTGGGGTGGAAAATGTGTGGAAACTGTGGGGAAAATGCTGGAAAGTGTTGGAAGATTCAATATATTCAATGAAATCCATATGGAAAATCAATGCACAAAGCTGGAACATGCTCCAGCATGGAAAATCATTGAAAATGTTGGAACCTGAGAGAAGTCCGCGAAAGAAAGATCCACCTTAAACCAACTTTCCAAGGAAAAAAAACATCCAAGGACTTTCCGCGGATCCCATTGTGTAGCTGAATTATCCTCATTTCCCAGCCCGATTTTTTCCGCTATTTTAAGGGGAAGTCCCAAAATTGTCACCAACATTTTTGCTGGGGTCGAAAAAATACAGTTACAAGATGTTATATAATTTATATAATTTATATATAGTTGTTATATGTTATTATGATATTAAACTAACCCATACTAACCCCAATGATCGGGTCTTGGTACTAAATCCATCACGTTTCGCAGAAATTTTGGGGCCTTGCAGCTTGCGAGCTGTAGGGCTTTTTCGCAGGATGCTAGCCTCAATTGCTGGATCAGGAAGCGATGCCAGTCTGGGATTTTGGAGGGAAATATGTCGACTCTTGACTCATATTACCATACCGATTTGGAGTAGCAAACATTACCAAACCATCAAATTTATCGGCATCCTTGTACTTCCAATTTTTCTTCCATCACTATACATTTGAAGTCACTTGAAACCATCCCAAAAATGGTGGTGGCCCAAGTTTCACATGTTTCACATGTTTCACATGTTTCACATGTTTCACCCATTCCCATCTTGCCCGTTGATGGTTCGAAGATGTGAAACACTGAGGCTGCAGCAGATCCATCAACAGCTCACTGAGGGTCTGAAAGAAGACTCGAAGCTGTTCCTCCTCCTAAAAGTCCCAGTTGTCCCAGGGGTCCAGCTGCGTCTCTAAGTTGCCCAAAAAAACAGAAGGCTTTGTCTGAAGGATACCCCTTCAGACTCTACCAGATTTTATGATGATTCTCCCATTTGGCCATTTGGGTTTCATAGATCTACCCCCCAAAAATTCATGCCATTTGGAGGCATTTTGAAAAAAATCTCACACGTCCATCACGTCCTAAAATGGTGAGACAACATCCACAGAAACTTCAGGCTTTGGCGCCTGCAATGCCTGCCAATATGCCACTGCCTCTGGCAGTTGCGTTTCTGCCAATCCTCGTGATCGAGGCGATATCAATATGACACATGATATGACACATGATAAATGTTCAAAAAAGATCTGTATTGGATTCCTAGAGATTCAGCAATGATTCACTTTTAGAAACCGCTCATTTCGAGGTCGTCCGATCTGCATCTCAGTTGCTTTTCAAATACGCCAAGTCGGTTTCCTGCGGCGGGTCATCTGACGAAAAAAGGGGCAGAAATCTGAAGGTATCCACAAGAATTTCACAAGTTTGGTGATTTCTAATTCCAGCTATCCAACATTTTTGGACAGCGTTTGGAGATTTTGGAGTGGGTGGTGGGTTAACACCAACTTCTGCCGACAGTCAGTTCTGCCTGGTTCTTCACATGTTTTCCCAGTATTTCCCAGTCATGGTACCCCAAAAAGCACCTCCAAGGCATCTCGAAAGCGATCCAAATGTTCCATCATCCGCTGCTGCAACACTGGTAACTCCACTTCAGGCCTCGATGAATCAGTTGAGTTGCCAATGGCTGGTTTTTTTCCCTCGAACAGCTGGCGGGAGATAGATTTTTACACAAACATGTAGCTAAAGAATGTTAAAGAACTATCAAAACATGGATCTGATTAAACTAAGGATCTGGTCACCACATGTGGATTTCAAATCTGCGGCCGCCTAAATTGGGATGCCAACCCGATTCAATTTGCTGGTTGCCACGAAAGTATCAAAAGTATCCAGTTTTGGCCTTGAAAATGATGTCATAACCAATGAGTGAGCTTTGGCAGCTTGCAAAATATATGTTGTTTGATGGTGAAAACCCACCTGTTCCCACTGCAATAAATCCCTGATTGTAATGCCAATTGTCTTAGCCAACAGCATCTTCCAGAACATCCATTCCACGTTTGATCAGTTCGGTTTGATTCCACATTCCACAGAAAACCATCCCAATCCCAATCCTTATTCCTATCAAAAAATAGTCCAGTTATCATCAGTTATCATCAGTTATCATCAGTTGTCCCTCCGTTTTCCACCGAAAATTCCCTCCGTTTTTTGGCCCCAGCGGGTCCCAGGTGGGTTCCCAGGCAGGCACAACAGCGCGCAGCGTGTGAGGAATGCAGGTGAGGCTTGGCTCACTTCGTCGCACTCGAAGACGAACCTCAAGTCCTGGCGATGCTTGGGATGAGATCAACCAACTCTGGGGGATAAAGATAGTCTATGTGATAGTATCTTTAAGATCAATTACTATCATTATTATCATAAAAATACTATGTGGTAGTAATAAAGATAGCCATAAAGATAGTTAAAACACACAAATTAAAAAATGAAATTACTATTACAGTTAATACTATGATAGTCTGATAGTTAATTACTATGATGGTTAAAACACCATAGTGATCTTTTTCGTATGGCGAGAAATAAGTAACTATATGGTGATACAACACCTGGTTAAAATATGGCTAACCACCACACAGTTGAGTACAAATATGGAGGATTCCCTGTGTTTAAAAATAAAAAACACCATGGTGATGAAAAAATGTTTTGTGGGATTGATTGATGTTTGATGATTATATAGGGTTTACCTTCTGGTAAACTAACGTAACTATGGAAAATCACCATTTTTAATGGGAAAATCCACTATAAATCACCATTTTCAATAGCTTTTTGTATGTTTACCAGAGAGTATCATGCTTCATCATTGGGGTTAGATGGGGATGAATCAACACCTAGGACCTAGGATTCTCATTGATGTTCCGAATGGCGGAGGATGAACATCCAATAACTACCCATATTGGCCATTGCTATGGAGACGATAAACCCTTTCTAAACCGTTGGATATGGCCCGTTGGCAATTACTTAACGATCCAAAATTCAGTTATGCTTAAAAGTGTGAAGGAGTGAAACTGGCCCTTTAAGAGCATCAACAGTTGCAGCAACATGAGCTTCAAGTTGCTTGCAGTTGCTTCATTCCATTTCATGCCCTAACATCTGCGCAACATCTGTGCTTGAGGTCGAGAAGAGTTGGCTGAAGAGATAGTTCTAGATTCTAGATAATTGATGAATGTTGATGAATGTTGATGAGCAGCAACTGAAGATGAAATTGGTACAAAAAGTTTGGCAATGACCTGTCAATGGTGCCGAAGCAGCATTAGATAGCAGAAAATTCAGCTGAGCATTGAGAAGTAGAGCTCAAGAGGTGCTCAGAACTTTCACTGTTTGCTGTTCTTCGTTCAAAATGCTGCCTCGAAGATTTCGAGATCGAATGGATCGAATGGATCGAATGGATCGAATGGATCGAATGGATCGAATGCACACTGGAACACTCTTCGGAACACGAACTGTTCTTCTAGTGACTCATTTGTGAACAGCACTCCAGCAAATCCGTCCCAACAGCCACAGTTCCTAGTTTTTCAAATGTCTGTGTCCTTTCCAAACTTGACATGGCCATGTTTACCATGTTTACCTTCCCCAATCCATCGGATCCATCGGCTTCCTGTCGCAAGGGCATCCGTTCCACGCTGTCGGGCAGCGCGAAGATGGCATCGTCCAAGGCCAGGTGCAGATGCTCCGACCACGACGGATCCAGTGGCCCGTCGAAGACCACCAAACTTCCCACGCCGCCGGGCAAGGAGGAACTGCTGGGCTCCGGCTCCGCCTCGTGGAACAGGGTCCGAAGAGGGATTCGGAATCATGATGTACATCTCATAGGGAATCTTATAATAATACAATATGATACATATAACTTACAACATCTATACTAAATCCATCTAAATCCCAGATATATCCAGATATCATAAAACCGAAGTTCTTCACATCGAAATCGGACTCCTGGAAGCTCTGCAACAAGGGCCCCTTCTTCGAGAAGAGTTCGCTGAAGCTCCAAGTCCCAGCATAGATGCGGTGGATCTCTATAGCCTGACCATCGCTGCAGGTGATGTCGTTGATGTATTTTTTTGATCCACAGGGATTGATGATGTTAAAGAAAAATATCATGGATATTCATGGATATTCATGGATCATAAGATGTTATCTGATTGATCATTCATCCTTGATCCACATGCTTTGTCATGGTTTCGATGCCTGAAGATCACTCAACAAATGCAGAAATGCAGCTCCAAATGCTTGTGGACTGGCCCTAAGGCCCTAAACACCCAGCGACTTCCAGCAATTGCCAAGTTCTTCGCATTTTTCTTCATATCCCAAAAAAATAACATCATCTTCCATGATGTTTCATGATGTTCCAATAAGTCCATCATTTTCTGTCCATTAGATGTCCCTTGGTTCCAAGGGATGTTCCAACCGGGATCCTGCCTCTTTTCCCTCTGAATCACTGGATCCTTCGGACAAGGTCTCCATCCGACCAGCCTGCGTCGAAAAATGGGATGGGATGCTACCGATGGAGATGCGAGTTTACACCATGTTTTTCTAGAGTTTACACATGTTTACACATGTTTACAGTACATGTAACTCATGTCATTTTCACACAATTTTCACACCCTGTTTTCGTATTCACGGATCGCCGTCTCCACGGCGGATCGCCGTCTCCGGATCGATCACCCAATCTCCGTCGCCTTGCCGTGCCAGGTCCGGACAGCCGTCATGGCCGGCAGCTTCCTCGGAAATATCAATGGACTTTGAGGAAATATCAATGGAAATACCAAGCGATTCCTAAGCGATTCCTAAGCGATTCATGATCCGAAGTGATTCTAAGTCACATATCACAGCCATATTCTAAGCTTCCAGAAATGTCCAAAAATGGCCGGGTGCCAAAGGTTCTGTAGCTCGGGATTCATGGTGGCGGCTTTCTGCATGACTTCACCTGGAGAAATTCATGCTGCAATGCTCGATGCCTGAGATTTCTACAACATCCAACGGCATTTGCTTCACGTCTAGTTCTTTTGATCTTCCATCCATGGATCATAGTGGATCATTGTGGATCATAGTGGATCCAACTCATCAACTCATCAACTGATGCAACTGATGCAACTGATGCAACTCAACTGATCAATCAACTCGTCATATCTTGTGGACGGTCGCCTGCATCGGAGGCTTTGTCCTTGAACTCTGCCAGCAGATGACCTTGGGCCCAAAAAAACAAGCTTGGCGTGTGGAGACCCGGGCTGATCCGTGAAAAAACCTGCCGAAGCCCCGAAGCCATGGAAAACATGGAAGTAATGATATATATATATATATATGTGATGATATAACATGATATAACATGATATAACATGACATAACATGACATAACATGATATAATATAACATGATATAACATGATCCCAAATCACAGAAAATGAGATGGATGAGATCAATGAGATGAGATTCGCTGAACTCTGGAGAACTCTGTAGTTCTCCAAGTGTGCTTTTCCCAATCTTTGGGATCAAAAACCATCAAAAAACCTATTGCAACATTGCAACAGTTCCCATACAGTTCCCATATGTTCCCAGCTTCTCAACTCCCAGGTTTTCCTGGGTTTCCAGCTTTTGCCCGAAGCAGCAGGACCCAGCAACACCTGGGATGATATTTTCCCTGGTTCTGGTAAGTTTTTTTCGAGACGTTGCCAGTACTGATGATACGATAATCATGATAAAGATATGATCAAAAAGTGTGATGATGATTGGTTGCTGAAGATTTAAACTCTGTGAACTCTTCTTTGATCATTCCGATTATTCCTTAGTCTTGAGTCAGATCATGTTCATGTCAGATAGGTAGATAGATCGATAGATAAATAGATAGATAGACGTATAATTATATGTAATATATAGTAATAATTCATGTTATATTCCATATGCCATGCCATTTAAGATCATATATTTCCATCTACATTGCCATATATATATATATATATGCCATATATATATAATCATATATATAGCAATCATTTGTCCAAGATTTGTCCAAGACACCAGACCCCTGTGGGACGTTAAGGATTCCTCCAGGCGCCGTTGCACGGCGCTCGAGGTCGCCGCGTCCGCGTCCACGTCCACGTCGCGCAGGTCGAGGTCGCAGCGGTCGAAGCAGCTCAGAGCGTCGAAGGTCGAAGCTCCGAACCTTTCGAAACGTCGATTTACCCGTGAAAAATGGCCATGTTGAATGGGATTTAATGGGGTTTAATGGATATAAATAATCCACTTCATGGAATATACCCATAGGAAGCTAAGATAAACCCCCATTAATCACCATTAATCACCAACCAGTTGTGGATTATTATGGATTATGGATTATTGTGGTGGATTACTATTACCCTCTGGTAATGACTAACATAGCTATTGAAAATGGCCATAGAAATCGCTGATTTACCCATTAAAAATGGTGATTTTCCATAGTCATGTGGCTGTTTACCAGCGGGTAAATCACCAAAATGGTTGGTTTCTTTCATGGAAAATCCTACTCAAATGGATGATTTGGGGGTAATGTCAACCCCGAATTAATAAACTACGGTTTATTAATTAGGGAGCTATTCCCCAAACAGTGACAATCTGATACTTAAATGGTACCCCCCGAAATTTTCAACAGCCGTTTGGGGTTTATTAATCCAGGGTTGACATTACCCCCATTTCAGGAAACCTCCATATGGGCTGATGGATGACGGGTTGATGGATGATGGGTTGTCAATGGTGATTGGCTGAACAAATGGCTTGGCAGATCATATTGTTACGAAGAAACACCATACAAAAAGAAGCGATCTTTTTGTAACTCAGGACGATTCTTCGTTGGTCCCATTTGGCATCCCTTCAATGCCAACCATCACATCCCACCATATCCCACCATATGGGTGTGTCTGAAAATGTTGTGTACCCATCATTTTCCCAATGGTTTTGCTGATCAGACAATCCCGCCCGTTTTTAAATGGCTATTTCATTGGGAAGATTAACATGATTAACCCAACATTTTCAGAGAAACCCAGATGGCGCCAGCAGAGTCATATCGCCTATGTTTCAGTGTGGTCTCCAGACTTTCTGCCATGATCTCGGACTCCACCAGCTCCACTGCTGAGGTCAAAGTCGTCTCAAAGACGCGGCGACGTCGGGCGCCGGCCTCCACGGTGGACGAGTGTCACAATGTGTCAAAATGTCAAAATGGAGAGTTTTAGGCAAAAAAATGATCTGATGGAATTTCTGTTTGATTTCATCAAGTAAAAGAAGCAACATGGATGAAGTAAGCAAAAAACGGTGAGTTTCACAGTGGACAAATGTAGTACTCACAGTAGACAAATGTAGACAAATATGTAGACAAATGTAGACCATCTCCAGTAGCCCCAATAGCTCCCAGTCCCAGCTCGCCTTGCTGATGACTTCACGCAGCAGTCGGAGTCCCAGTTCTTTCCCCTGGCGGAAACGAGATCAGCGACAGATCACCGGCTCTGCATCGCTTCCCCGGCGCACCTCTAAGGCGGCCCAATGCTTCCAGAAGCTGGCGACCTTTCGAGCAAGTTCCGGTTCTTCATTGAAGCCTCGTTTCACGACAAAAACCAGAAAAACATAGGAAAAAACACAAAAACACGACAAGTTCCGGTCAAGGATCAGTTCAGGTCTTGGTACACTTTGAGTCTTCCAACATCAAGACAATGCCAAAGAATGCCAAATATTATGTGTGTAATTGATGTATAATTGATGCATAATCATTATATACAAAAAAATGATTTTAGAATAGAGAGTTATGATTGACTATGATTGACTTCTCTGCAAAGAATGCGAAACGTCCCAACTGATCCAAGAGCCACGTCGCCTTCGGAGAGCAACAGCCCCTCCACCAGTGGCAGCACATGCAGCGCCGGTAACGTCACGGGTCGCAGGCTCTGAAGACACGCCAAGGCTTCCGAGGAGAGCGGCCTGGGTTGGCATGGTTTGGCACCTTGGCACCCTGGGATAGGCAGCAAAACATGGGTCAATTTTCTGCAAAACTATGGTAAAATTGGAGTAAAATTGACTGAGTTGACTGAGTTGATTGGTAAGAAAATGATCAATTTGGTAACGTTTTGATACGTTTTCTGTCCTTAAATCTTGACCCATGTGGTTTTTAGACATGGCAAGTTTAGATGATTCCCGATTGACCTGCAGCCCTGCAGCCGCACCTCTCGCAGTGAAGGGTTGCAAAGATCATGGCGGAAGGCTTGAGTGGAAGACTGGTTCCTGCAAATCAGGAGTAACCATCATTAAATCAGCAGTTGATGTTTGCTGTTTGGCCGATGGGAAAATCCATGGGATAAATTCTGTGAAGGGTCCAAGTAATCTTTAAAAGAAGTATATGGAACAAGGCATAGCAGCTATAGCATATCTTCGTCATGTTTCAAAGCGTTTCATCTTCAGGAAACACCCAATACTCTCATCAAAAAAAGCACAATTATAGTTTCACTATACCAGAAAATCCATCAAACATCACCAAAAAACCATCAACATCGAAATCCGTCAAACATCTAAAATCCATCATCCATCAACCATCTCAACATCTAAATCTCCCCATTTTTCCATCCATTTCCATCCATTTCCCATGTTTCCCATGACCATCCCAGTTTCCCATCCCATCACACGCCTTGGAGATCAAGGGTTTCCCGTTTGGCGCGCAGGGCCTCCTGCAGCCTTCGCAAGTACAAGGCCAAAGTGCCTGGAGTTCCGGAGCGGAGTTCCGGAGCGGATGAACAGTTGGGATGATAATGGGATGATAGGGATGATAAGATTGGGATATATTGATATGATAGTTAAGACATGCTAGGACTAGATTCTACTAGATCATAGTGACTTCCATTGCTTGAAGGTGTTCGAAGTTTCCATTTCCAGCGGGCTGGGATGATCATGATGTTCTGAGCCTGACCTTTTTGAGTCTTTTTGTCCATCAAGAACCGAGTGGTGGGGCCCTGGGGTTGCCCTTGATTCCCTTGATTCCTGCTTGATCCCTGCTTGATCCCTGCTTGATCTCGTTGCTTGGTGTGAGAGAGACGTGACAAGTTCCCCACGTTCCTTCAACGGATGAGAACTTCACTTTTTCGCATCGGTGAAGATGGCGAAGTGTTGAAAATCCCGGCCCAAGATGTCCGTTGATCAGCCGATGATCATCCGCTGATCCAAATTTCACCGCGAAGGCGCGCCTAGCAGGTCGGGCCGCATCAGGTCCAGAGCGTCCAGTTGCAGCCAACATCCACCCTGGCCACTGTGCCACTGCGGGGCAGGGTTTTCCATAGTGGGTCCATGGATTTCTCCGATCAACTTTTCGATGACAAGCCAATGGCAAGTCAAGCCAATGAGGAAAAAGTATCATGTTTGAGATTTTGTGGGTGATTCCGACATCAAAACATATCAAAACAAGTATGTTCCGACATCAATTTTCATCCACTTTAACTTTCATCCACCTTCATCAACGTTCATCAACTGTCCTATTCCAAGACTTCTGATTTCGCCTGCGCACAACCAGCCACCAATTGCGTTGCCAAAGGCATGCTGCCACTGCTGCAGCGATAGGAGATGAAGGCCAAACCTAGTTTTTGGGATGTGCCAGAGATTTCAGCCGTTTTAGATTAAAAACCTGCAAAACATTGGCCCCCTGATGGTTATTTAACGGTTATTCCTTCTGTTCTTTTTGTGGGCTGAAACACTGCAACCTCTCAAACAATTGAATGTCAACTGGTGATGGATGAGAGGTTGACATTCAATCATTGCAGAAATCCCGAAAAGGTCATGTTTTTTTAGATCAAAAAATCATGGTGTTTATACGGTATACATATGTAGTTTACATTACCATCTTTACCACCATGATACCATCGTCATACTGGGAAAACCAAGGATGGGCCAGAAATGGGTCTGGATTTTGGGTCTGGATTTTGGGTCAAGACTTGGTCAAAGTCGCGTCTGCTCAATCTCCATGTTTGCCCCCCATGAGTGTTTCATCTAAATCATCCCATTGAACCTTCAACCTAAAATCCTCTTCGTGAAATCATGCTAAATCCTGATTTTAGAGCGCATCTTACAGGTGCTTGAATCATCTTAAATCCAAATCTAAATCCTTATCTTACCGTGATTGAATCATCTGAAATCCATGAAAATTCCATGAAAATCCCACCGGTTTTTCCATAACTTTCAGCACAAAAAAGGCGGCGCCGAGGTACCAAAGGCTGTGGCCAATCCACGGCTTAGCTCGGTCTTGCCGCTGCCCCGCAGCAGCGCGCCCATCTGAAGTCTCAAAGCCTGGTGCTGCTGGGGAAAATCAGGTGGATGTTTATACAGTTTATACATGTTATACATGTTATACATGTTATACATGTTATCTATCTGATGATATTTGGATGATTTAACAAACTGATACGTGATATACTATGATATGCATTGATATGCTGCAATTTCACAGATATATTGATATATGTATATGATATTATGTATATAGTGTGAATATCATCTGTTCTGAAGGAATATCTTGAAATTACATGTGATACTTAGGCTAGATCTGATGCTACATGTCATTGATCATACTAATAAAATGTGTATCGAATGTCAAGAGATCAATGATCTGATCATGGTTTTGTAAGATAGTGCTTGTTTGGTAGAATCCATTGATGAAAAATTCTTCAACAAATTTCACCAATGAAACCTTGGGTCCCAAGCAGCGAAAACGCTGCGCCTGGGTCAAAGCGATCCAACATCTTTCGGACTGCGGTGAAATCACCAAGCGTTCGATGGGAAGATATTCCAAACCTCGGACAAAGAAACACTGATGGAATCGACCACCATCCCAGATTTCAAATCATTTCAGGTCAACTATTCTGAATTCTCTGCATTTCTGTGATGTTTTCATACATCATATTACATAATTATATAATTATATATATGTATATAATTATATGAAATATTAGCGTTCATGCAGATGATTTTCATATGTCTGTTGTCTGTAGCTTTTCAGGTGTTCCAAAACGTCGATCGGAACGGGTCTTTTTTTTTGCCGAGTGACCGTGAGGAAACTGTGTCTTCAGCAGAGAGACTGTGACCTTTCCACCGGCATCGCCTCAGAGGTCGCTAGCTATCTGAAGAAGGGACCAAGGCCTTTTAAAAATGGTGAAAATGAGTTGGAAAAATATGGAATATGTATGAAATTGTATGAATATGTTACATAATTGTTACATATGTTTCAAATTCTCTGGCATTTTTGGGGATTGATCCATTCCATTGACAATTGGAAATGTGTGTTTTTTTCCCGGAAATAACTCAAAAACGTTCAATCCAATTGAAATATGCACCGATTTTCGTTGTAACCACCCCACCCCATAGCCATGCTCTTTTGATGTTTGGGAAATCTCGCTGACAGCCCAGCTGCTGATGTATTCATATCGCAGATCCTTTTGAAAGGCGAAACTCTCCAAACCGTCGGAAGGATCGGCTCTGGCGTGCAGAAGCCTTACAGTGGAGAGATCTGGTTGCTGGTTACGTCTGGTTACATCTGGTTACTGTGCGAAATTCCAACTGCTGTTGAAATATGTTAAAATCCTTGTGGCTCAATTTGATTGAACCCATCCATTGGATGGTTTTCCACATCGTTCCCCCCAAAAAGAGCTACCACCCCAGGTGTCAAGTTTTGTTTCCATGCCCAAAATACCTAAAACCCGTAGCACAAAAGCCGTGATCGCTCTAAGCTCAGGACTCTTCTAGGTATCTCTGCTTGTGCTGAAAGGCCAACAACAGCAGGGCTGCCCGGTTGCACTTGCTACTTCCACGAGCAGCACGTTGCAACAGCCTCCAAGTGACATTGTGCATTTGAAGAGCTCAACTCAGGGTAAAGGAAAACGTGGAAAACTAAAACCAGAAATTGGACAAGCATGTATGTATATATATATATATACATTATACCATTTTTGTATATATATATATATAGACACCAGATATATAAATATATTACAGATATATAAAGTCTTGAAGTTTTGCATAAACACACACAGAATGTCTGAGAACTTCCAAAGCAGCACCGTTCCTGAGTTGCAAAATGGAGTGCCAGCGTTGGAGATGCTCCTGCAAGCAGGGCTTGCCCGTGGTACCATCGCTGCAGACTGTCGAAGATTGTCCAAGGTTACCATCAATCTCAAGGTACCATCTGGTTATGACTAACATAGCCATGGTATAGATGGCCCATAGAAATAGATGGTTTACCTATTAATAGCATGGTGATTTTCTATGGCTATGTTAAATAACCAGGTGGTAACTCGAAAGAAAATCGGGAATCGGCATGAACTTCGGACCACTCCATGGTTTTTGATGCCCTGAATTTGCCCTTCGATGCCCTTCATGTGGCCATATCCAGTGGTGGGAGTCCTTCACTCCATCCATGGCATTGGCCGACCAGGACCTCATGATCCCCGAAAAACCACGCCATCAACCAATGTGGACCAACATGCACCAGGGCCAGGGATTTTGGGCGCCTTTGGTAAAGTTGATGTGAAACAAACAGTACATCTTTGTTTTTCATTGTTCATGTCACCTGGATGTCGTGTTTCACCAGCCACAACGACACCTTGCCAATCTTGCCGTAGATCGGCTCGCCAAGGTGCTCTTGAAGAGACATCTGCCACAGGGTCTCCCATGCTATGAGGACCACCTGCGATGCCAGGTCTCAATCTCAAACCAGATTTTGGCGGTGAAAAAACGGTAATGTGCAATACAAACATAACATATCATACATTAATATGAATGCATAAAATATTAAAAATCTTATATAATAAATATACATCTTATATTATAAATATACAATAATATACTAATATGATATTCATCTTAGACAATAGCCATTTTTTGGTCTTGCTCTTCAACTCCATCGCCTGGCTGGGCAACTCAGAGTCCACAGCCCAGGCAGTAGCACCAGCCACATGGCTACCAGCCTGGGATGTCGAAGAATCACCCCTTGTACTGGAAAAAAACGCTGAAAAATGAAGGGTTAGGATGGTTTAGAAGATGGTTTAGAGGATGTTGGTCCCATTTTGTTTGGGTGAGAAGATGAACAACGAACTTCGGGATGGTGTTTGACCTTTTTTTTCGGGACGGGACCGCTGGGTCGGTTTCCGCATGTCGTCCCCAGGTGGGGGCCTGTTCCACTGCTGCTTTGATCGACTGCCGCATGGCAGTGACCATCACCGTTTGAATGGCTTCCAAGGTCTCTTCGGCGTTGTTCCGCAGCTTCACCTGCCACAAAATCGCTTAGATTCATCTCAAAAAACCATGAAAAAACATGGAAAAGACACTTAAAAGCATCATCCACCATCATCCACCATCATCCCTTCCCATCCCTTCCCATCCCTTCCGGTCCCATCCGGTCGCGCACCCGAGTGGACAGCATCAAGCGCTCCGTCTCCTGCCCCAGGCCCTGCCCAAGGCCCTGCCCGCGCAGCGCGAAGATTTCACTGTCCAAGTGCGCGAAGGCCTCCACGCCTATGAGGATGCCATATGTGCCATATGTGCCATGTGCCATCCCAGGGAACCCATCAATTTTCACCATGGCCTGTGTCACCAATGAAATGAACTGGGCATAACTGGGCGGATGGCTCAATTTTTGAGACCTTCGATTTTTCGCGAACACGTGTAGACACATTGGATTTTCAGCCAGTTTAGGGCAGTTCATAACCCCAGTTTAGTGATTCATTGCATCCTCCATCCATCTTCGGGGACATATGTCAACCCCATCAACAGTTTCCCACATTAAGACTTAAAATGTCCAATCCCATCACTTCCATCATGTTGAAAATCGTGACCTCCCCGTATGTGTTCCATCCATTCTATCCATTCATGCATATATACAGAACTATGATATGTATGTATATATATATATATGTAATGTATATATATATATCCATATTATAATCATATACATATTATATTTAATACCATCAACCTCCATCTATATATCTGTCATCCATTCCTTCCATGTGACCTGGGAAGCAGAGCCGCAAGAAATGTTCCACGGTTTGATCTGAGCGCGTGCCCAGGAGCTTCAGCAACTGCGAGTCACTCAGCAGGCACAGACGCCCACCGTAGCCAGGGCGCCTCTAGGATTTTTCACTGTTTTGGGAAGGAAAATCCGGATGTTTGGCGGATGTACTAAGGACATCTAGAAATCACTAGAAATCCACTGTTCCAAGGGTTTTTTTGTCTTTTAGACGAAAATATTGCTGGACACCTCCATGACTTCAAGGGCAACATCTGGTTGAATGTGGAATTCCCCTGGGTTTTCTGGTGAGAAATTCAACTGGATCCACTTAAATAATGGTTCTTAACCTGGGGCAGATCGAATCTGGGTGCCAGACTTGGATTCCAGAAAGTTCTGCAGATCTCTTTTGATGTTTTCCATCGCCTGCGAAGTTGGCAAAAACTCGGCGTCTTCCGTTGATTTTTGACCTGTTGGATCCTGGGATCCTGTTAGATCCTGTTAGATCCTGTTACTCATCATGTTTCAGCCATTAACAAAAAACCTGTTGCTGCTGCTTTCAAACATGTGCTCAACATCCATATCCATATATTTTCCATATATTATCCATTGATTCATCAGTTCACCAGCATTTAAAATGCGATATTTTCAGTGACCGCGGTCACCAGCATTTTGCACCTCATGGAGCTGTCGAAAACTCTGAGAGCTCTGTGGATCCAAAGCGATCTCCACGATGTTGGGACGCAGCTGTAGGGGTTGCAGCAAGGCCTGAGCCGCACCGAGCCGTGCCGCTGCGTTGCGATGTGGTTCTGATGTGGTTAGCTATTTGTTGAATGGAAAAAAATTGTGGAATCTCCCAATTTGCGTCTCAAAATGTGGGAAATCCCAAATTACAGACTGACAAATTCAAATGACATGTTTTTGGTTGAAGACTTAATGGAATGTGATGGTCTGGGATTGAAACATAGAACGTGATGGATGATCTGGATGAATTTTCATCATGACAAAATTTATCCAGATGTTGAAATATGTTGAAATATGTTGAAATATGTTGAAATATGTGGAAATATGTGGAAATATGTGGAAATATGTGGAAATATGTGGAAATATGTGGAAATATGTGGAAATATGTGGAAATATGTTTCAATATGTGTTTCAATATGTTTTTCAATGACCAAATGAAAAATGACGACATTTCGGTGCCTTCCAGTTGGAATCCACCTGCTGAAACGCTGCAACTTCGGCGATCTTCTTGGAATTCTCCACCACCGACAGCACGTCATCCAGATAGATCCAGCAACGTTGGCAGGCCCAGATCTCGTCCAACAACTCTTGGACCTTCTCGAAACGAGCCTTCCAAGAAAGGATCCGCAGGATGGAGAAGTTCATGGAAAAGTTGAGAAAGTTCGGTCAAGTTCCATCAACATAGTTGAAATAGTTCATACATGTTCATACTTTCTATCAACTTCCAATAGTTGTTAAATAGTTCATACTCTTCTCAAATTCTATTGAAGTTGATAGAAGCATTCCCACGACACATTCTTCACATCTTGATTTTCACTTCTGGAAATCCAGTTACAGTTCAGTCAAATCCAGTTGAATCCCCATGTTTCTTGAATTTTCCTATGTTAAATCATTGTTTCAGCTGGATTTCCAGATTGAAACATAGCGCCTGCCACAGCTTCAAGCGATCCGCATGGACCTCTGCATAGGACGAGGACAGGGCGGCACCCACCACGGCCAGGCCATCTTCTAACTCCTGGATCCGGGGCGGACAAACTGGGCATTCCCAGAGGTGTATTCTTGGGTATTCATGGCTATAGAGTGTATACCATCTGGTTATGACTAACAGTTTGCCATGGAAAATTACCATGTTTTATAGGTAAACCATATGTAAACCATCTATTTCGATTAGGGCCATTTTCCATGGCTATGTTAAATAACCAGAGGGTATGTGTATATATATATATATGTATATATATGCTCAGCCACCCCCCGACCCCGCCAACATGACCAATGATTTATGATATCTTTTGATAATCTTATGATAATCTGATGATATTGGGTGATATGGTTTTGATTAATATTATATATATATACACCCGTAGCAACGGGATAATGGTTATAACCCAATTTGTTATTCAGTTACCCTCCGGTCTGAGTTTGTTGAACAAGCCAGTAATATGATAAGCAAATTGAATCTACTTGAATTCTTCGCAAGGCTTTTCAATGTGCCCCGGGCACAGAGTCAATTCAAAGTCGCAAACCGGAAACGACATTTGGAAGAAATAGCAATAATTGTTGTATTTTCGCGAAACTAGTTTTTTGGCACATTCACTGGCCCATGGTATATTGAACTATACTGTTTTCTTCGTGGGTGAGGATCATCCAATGATCACCATCCACGGGACAAGTTTAAAGCATGGCTTGTAGAGTTTCCCATGGAAATATCCTTTAAAAACATTCCCCAAATCCCATGGTTTATCAAAGTTCCCATCAGTTCCCCAAAAGAACTGGCCATTTGGCGATGTATGGCGTTTTTTCCCCCCAAAAGTGTTGGATAATGGGGCGGATATTTTGGGGACCACCTAAAAAAACCATTCCATCTCCAGATTCCTCCCACAGAGACTGCAATGAGTCAACCGCCAGGGTATCTCGTTCTTCGGAGTTGGACACGATGGGCAACTCCAATCCACCTCAAAAGGTGATGTGTCACGAGTCGTCACGAGTCGTCACGAGTCGTCACGAGTCGTCACGAGTCGTCACGAGTCGTCACGAGTCGTCACGAGTCGTCACGAGTCGTCACGAGTCGTCACGAGTCGTCACGAGTCGTCACGAGTCGTCACGAGTCACGAGACTTGGGAAACGATGCAGTCCTACACTAGAATTTCCATCGATTTTTCGCTCCAGTCCAGATTTCCACAGATTTCCACAGATTTCCACTGGACTCATTGGACGAACAACGTTTCTTTCAGCCGAGTGACTCCAGGTTTCTTTCAGCTTCTCCAAGGCCACTTCCACGTAGTGCTCTTGCGTGGCCCGTCGCGCGATGGCCAAGAGCTCCGGCAACGAGGCACCCAAATTCCAGTTCGCCGCCTCGAGGCCCCAATTCCGACCCAGTCGATCCAGTCGAAAATTGCCAAAATCCCACAGAAATCCATCCAGAAATCCATTCAAAATGCCATGGAAAAAAACAAACACAAATCTAGAACACAATTTCAACACTTCAGTTTTGTGTCCATCCAAAATCCATCCAAAGTGGTGAACACAATTTCAACACTCCAGTTCACCATTTGACCACCATTTGACCATCCGATTCAATCGACTTCGCATCTTTGGAAACGCCACATTTCACGGGGATCATCGGGGATCCACCAGCTGTGCAGGAAGATCTTGTGAATACTCTAATATCATGGAATTTCTATAGATGAATAATGATGAATATAGCCATTGGCTGTATCACAATATATCACAATCTATGAACAAATATCTATGAATACTGAATATTGATATGTCATATATTTTCAGACTTGATGATTTTTGACATGTTTGATATTTTTTGGGGCAGAAACGTCGAAACGCCGAGTGATTGGCGCCTGACCGAAGGTGATGTGGGGTTTCCCATCTTTGACGGCGAGGTCCAACATCACTTGAGACAAGGCCGTCCAGTGACGTGTCCGCAGATGTGGATTTTGGAGCACTTCCAAGACCGGAATCAGGTCCTGAATGTAGAGCAACCTCAGTTCAATTCAGTTCATCATGAATTTTCTTGATTTTGATATCTCATCTCAGTTTTTTGAAAATATGAATTTGGTGAATTTGATTGACTTCGAAAACGATCTCGCTTCAAATCTGCAGCGTCATGTCTCAAATACATTCACCCTGAAGCAACTTCAGAGCTCAAGAAAGATCAACTTTCAGATCTTCCAAAAATCGCAAACACATTATATATATATATACATAAATTTATTTATTTATTGATTTATTTATTTATTTTTCCTCAAGCCGAACAAGTACCAACTACTTGTCCCCAACAAAAACACCCAACGTGGCCACGGCGCTGTCGGCCCAACTCCTGGGCCACGGGGTTCTCCGGCAAATCCTCCTGCGCCTGGGATGCCCTGGTCGACAACGCCGTGACCTGATTTTGGCTGCGCCAACTCGACCAGTCCATAGCAGTCCCATAAAAAAAACACAACGGAAACATGACGTAAACTCCACATGTCATGACATTTCCAGGTTTATGAATGGTATATGAATGATATGTCATGATATGTCATGATATGTCATGATGTATATATGTCCAGGTTTATCAATGATATCATGGTTTACGAATGGTGTATGAATATGAATGGTTTATCTTGAAACAGAATGTGACTCGATGCTGAAAACGATGAACCCAACCTCTGTCGCCACTTGTATCAGGTCCACTCCCAAGAGGTCCTGACCAGTACCCGATCGATGCCCGGTGAAATCAACAGCTATGAACTGCTCGGACAGAAGGGGGTGTCAGACAGAAAATCTGTCTGCGGGCGGAATCCAGTTTCAACAACCGTGAACGTTGAAGTGTTGAGTTTTTTTTGGGAAAATGAATTCGGGCGGAATTGCGCCTGATTCGGGCGGAAACACACGTGATTCAGGCGTAAATGGCCGTAACGATTTTTGTTGAGAACACGAGCACTTTAACAAATCTTTGGCTAAAGTGGGTTCGGGCGGAATTTGGAGCCTGAGGGGCGGAATCCTCAGGGCAGGTTTCCTGCCTGAATGCATCCAGCCAAATATTACTGCCTGATCTAGGTATAATAATAATATATTAATATACATCTATTATAGATATGACACTGTATATGACACTGTATATACATGTAAATACTGTTACTGTATATAGTTCCAATAGGTATATCGTGGCAAAAACTGGCACTCCAAAAGCTGCCAAGTTGCTGCTGGAAGCCATTCATTACCTCAGGATGTGTGGTGGGCCGTCCCAACGAGCTCGGCATTCCGACTTCAACCAGTGGTCATGTCATGTCTGATTTGTCGATGTTCAAGATGCAGAAACCAATGAAATTCCATAGACCCACAGATTCTGGTTGCGTTGTTGATGTTGTTGGAATCTCCAGACGTCAACATAGATCACTTCAACGTCAACTTGTTGGGTTTGTCCAGCCAATCTATAGCCTCTTTCTTCTTTTTTGTAACAACAATAGTCAATGAAAAAATAACCAACATACTTGATGACTTAATGATCATGATTTAGAACAAAACAAAACGTTGGATGATGTTGGATTCTGTCGTGGTATCCCCAGATTTTTGTTCAGACGCTCCGAGCCACACTTCCGCTGCCAATCATCGAAGGTCCACCAAACATCCAACCGTCGTTGCATCTGCAGCCAGGCGTTGCTTAAATCCTTGGTGGATGGGAAAGAAAGTTCAAGGCAGTTCAAAAGGGAAATCACACTGCTGTATATCTTCAAGACTATTCAATACTATTCAATCCACTTGGATCAAGACTTGGGTCTCTGCCCTATTTCGAATCGAATTCGTGAAAATATGTTCAAATTATCTCAAGTTCCCCAAGTGGTTTTTTTGATGTTCACCACTTTGGCCCAACCCCAGGGCCCTTGGATCACTTCGAACTCTTCGACCCGTTTCCAGTCGAGTTTCAGGCAGTTGCTCTGGGGTGATCTCCTTCGCTGCGATGACCTCCTGGCAGAAAAATCTGGACTTCACCAGGATTTCTGGGGGATTTCCCTGAAATAATTGGAGGTTTATTGGAGGTTTATTGGAAGTTTATTGGAGGTTGATTGGAGGTTTAGGTTTATTGATGTTTCTTGATATGAGACTGATTGAATGATTGTATCAAATTAACTTGATGTGGATGTTGGCAACTTGATGTGAATGATCATCACGCCATGATCAACATGATGAAATCAACAAAATGAAGACTGGAAATCCAAAAGACTTTACCGTGGAGATCAAACAACACCACCTAATGATGTGATTTCCGAAGCTAAACTCTGGCGCTCCTGATAGTGGACGTAGGTGTCATGCCGTTCTTGCAATTCGTTCAAATACTTCTCCAACTTTGACAACTGCTTCAGTTTGTCTTCCACCTCGTCTTTCCTCAGCGCTCCGCTACAGTGCCGAGCTACAGTGCTGAGCTACAGTGCTACAGTGCTACGACTCTTACGAGATCTGAGAGACGGACCCTTCTCCAAGGCCCTCAGCACGTGGAACGTGAAGCCGTCAAGACTTCAGTTCTGCTTGGAGATCACTTGGGTTCTACTTGGATCACTTGGATCACTGGGCTTTCCACGGAACCGAAATTCTCGGAAAGTTGAAGCAGGTCAGGATCCAAGACCTTTTCCTGGCATTGCCAGCCGAACATCTTTCAGCATCTGTCAGGTGTCGACTGCTCCAAAACAGCCGAAATCTTCTCAAACCAAACTCCGGGACATTCGTCTGCTTTCCACCAAATCTACTTTACCCAACATCCACCCATTTTGTCACATTTTGCCCAGGTTGATCTCATTTTAAACTTCGGAAACTTCTTGAAGTTTCCCCTCAACCACAGTAACCACTGTTTAACCCTGTCAAAACCCATCATTTTTACGGCATTTTCCATGGTTTTCCATGGGTTTTCCAACATCTACCGTGGTGTTTTCCGTGGGTTTTCCACCCAGATCCAGCCCCTTCCACCGTGGTTTCCACCGTGGCCGCCTCCGACACGAAGAGCTCCACCTCGGACGCCAAGTCCGCGAGCGAAGCCACGAAGACCTCCACGAAGCCGCTGCGAAGCTCCTCCACCTGGATGGGATGGGCAAATCCCATGGGAAAATCCCATGGGATTAGCACAAACCATGGTGAAAAACAGATGCAAAATCCCATGGTTTGATGGAAAAACCTGGAAAATCCCCATGGGAAAATTACCATGATAAAAAACAAAAAACCATGGGAAAAACCCATGGTTAAAAAAAAAAAAAACTATGGTTTTTGTTGAACCATCATCTAGAATCTACAAAGAAACTGAAGGATCGGAATGGGATTTGTTTGATGAATGGAAGGGAAAAGCCATGGTACTTTTTGGGTATCAATTTTCAGGGTGCCCCTGGTTTGACCAATGTTTGACCAATAGCCAAATGATTCAATGCTCATTGCGCTCGAAATATCAGGGTCTTCTATGTTCTTGGGAAAAGGAGCTCGAAATCCAGGAAAAAAACGATCCAACGATTCAAAGATTGAGACAGGAAATGACATGAGGCACAACTGACACTCCGCTGCAATTTCAACTGAAACATCTTGGTGCAGAAACAGTTGTTGACCAATGGCAAATCAATGGAAAATACTGGAAAATCTACAGAGATCTGACTCATCACTTGTAAAGTCCCAATTACACAGAAGATCACTGATCATCTCCACTTTGAAAATACATCACAACATCACCAGAACCAGAAGCAGTTTACATCATTTTACCTCCATAACATCCAGCCATCCAGCCATCAGATGCCATCGGGCCATGGCTGGCTCTGCCTGTTGTCGTTTCTCCTGGGTCAAGTGTTCGAAGTCCAGGAAGCTCCGTGGCACCTGGGTGCACTTGGCCTGAATCGCTTGCCGAACGAAGAGCCTCCCGGAGATCGCTGTTTTGAGCAGAACAGCTGGGTGATGTTGAGGACAGAACAGATGTTGAGGTATCCGGAAAAAAAAAAACTCATCTGAGATCATTTGATGGTTGTGTGATGTTCTCTTGTTTCTTTTCAAAACCTCCGGCAAATGCAGCTTTCAGATAGCCATCTCGCCTGCAATCCAAACTGACTCTTCGACCCCTATGATTGGTAACCACTGTTTGTTTACCATGGTTCATGCATATATATATATATATAGACAGAGTTCAGCATCATTAATCATAGCTATATCATGCTATTATATGAGAATTACATGGCCATATGCATGATATACATGATATTATTGTATATTATATATTATATATACTATATATTACATATACTATATATATATATGCCCCAAGAGCCTCACCCCCCTGGCGTCAAAAATCATGGCCATCCTGGGATGCCCATTTTCAGCCGTTTTCGCCAAGCCTGTGATCGTCCAGGATGATGGCCATTTTCGCCAAGCGATCCAAGAAATCCGACTGCTTGGAGACTTCCATCTTCACGTCCTGGAGATACCGAGATCTTCTGGAAATGATGGCTGAATGGACCATGAAGGTTATAAATTACAACATGTTACAACCATTAAGGTGCTATAGGTGCTATGAAGATTCATCATGTTCGAATGATTTTATGATTTTATGATGGTTATTGCAGTTATAATGCTTAAGAATTGGGTTTAACCGTGGCAGATCGTGGTTAGTTCTTGGGGTTAATAACTGATCTACAATGAGGGGTTCATAATGGTATATAATGCTTATGATGATTAAAGATCATTATGTCAATGTTCCAATATTCGATTTGTCAGTATGTCTCTGAAAATTCGCTCCAGCATGGTTCAATATGGTTCAGGTTCACCAAATATCAGGATATCAGCAGGGTAGCACTGGACGCTCCTGCAGCACCATAAGATCCGAAACGAACTCGGCCAGGCTGCTGGGCACTTCCGTCAGTTGACTGGGCACGAACCGGCCGTGTGGGGATCACCACAAAATGGCACCGAAACCCATGGTTATCTCATGGATATCTCATGGTTTGAGAAGTCTTTTGAGAAGTCTCAAATTGGAATTTTTTGGTACAGTTGATGTTGATATCCATGATTATGACATGATGTCCAAAATTTCATCAGAGTGTCATATCCCATGATATCCCATAATATCCCATCCAGTTCATGATGACACTCTGATGGGATTCTGATGACATTCCGATGGGATTGGACGAGTTCAGAGTTCCGACCTGGACTTGTTGGAGATCCAATGGGAGACGTGCTCCGCGCAGCGGAAGAGGATCTCCGGCAGCTCCTCCTCCAGTTCCGCCAAGCACCTAAAGTGGTGCTGAAATTGGAAGATGGGGAATTCGTTGTCGGATTCTGACATGATTCTGATGGAATTTCATGGAGAATGTTCATTGGTTTGACTATTTTTGCTACAATTTTGGATGCAGTATATATATATATATTATATTATATATATATATACATATATAGATATTATCTATATATAAAATATATATATAGGTATATATTATAATGTTTGTATATGTCAAACACTGATGGACCCTCGTTTTCAACTGGAACAGTTCAAACATCGGCGATCCATCCGTCCCCACCTCGTCCCGGAGGCTTTCAGTTCGGCGATGGCTCCCGAAATCCTCGGGGCATGCGATATCTGTTGGATCAGGAATTTGGTATCTCCTGGAGGATTTGTTTGGATGTTTTGGAGATTCTTAGCGACTTCCTCGCCCATTTTTCCAAGCATCCATTGGCCAGCTTTTCATACTCAAATATCATGGAGATATCTCATGATATCTCATGATATCTTGATGATTATCTTCAGATTGATTATCTCATGATCTCATATTTTCATTTATGATCTCCAATATCTTGCCATTTCCGTTACTTCAAAAGGTGATTCCAACGACCCACCCTGCGGTGCGGAGAACTTCACCGAGATGCTCGACTTCCAAGGGACGCACGGAATGTTTGCTGGGGATCTGATCCAAGCTCAACAAACCTGCCGAAATGTTCGAACCACTGACATCTTGGGACGACATCTTGGGACTTTAATTGATCTGGAACTGCTGGATCAAATAGTGGATCAAATGGTGGATGAAACATCATGAAACATCATGAAAGATGATGAAAGATGAAACACCATGAAAGATGATGAAAGAATGTCCGAACGGCTCAGTGTCCCATTCCCATTTTACAAAAAAAACATGTTTTCCAAGTGCAAAATCATCAAAAATCGTTGGTTCGTGGCCTTCCCGATAGTCGTGCAGCATCTGGTTCAGCTCTCCCAACTCCGCGGAATTCCACAGGGATTGGACCACGGCGCGAATGTCGCTGTGTTGACATTTGTAACACCACTGGAGATGCGAGTCGTACTGTTTGAACCTCAGATGGAAATAATCTGGGAATCTGGATCTGAATGGCAGTTGAGGTATGGCTTAAGGTATGGCTTGGTATGGCTTGGTATCGGTTGGAAGTGGACTATATTGGACTTGGCCTAAGTTGGAATTCGTAGCATCATGCTGCATGCAAGGCATGCAATTGCAACTTCCAAAGACCTGTCTTGCCAGAATAGCTCCAAGCATCAACGGTAAAAACTCCAGCACAAAACCACTAATTCTACAAATCGTAGAACATCTACCCAACAATCAGAACTTTAAAAAAATTGGCTTAGTACAATCACTATAACAATTATCCCAATGGTTGTTTCACAAACTTTGTTAAGTCAACAAAAAAAGATCCACAAGAATGATAGAATGATCCACCAGCATGATCCACTTATGATCCACCAGCATGATCCATTGAAACTCCGCCCAGTGTGCCGCAGTGCCGCAGTGCCTGGTTTGGACGTCCTCAAAAGCTTTCTCCAAAGTCTTCGCCAATCGCCCAGTGCTCTGCTGCCAGGCCTCCTGAGCCACGAGGCTGTCGAAGAGTTTCCCGTCCAGCTCCGCAACAAAGGCCTGGGATGCGGATGGGATGGGAGTTTCATGGGAGTTTCATGGGAGTTTCTAGGTTTTTTGCTTGGAAAATTGGACAATTGGATCAGGATCCGAAGATTTCATCCATGGAAAAGATGTCAGATGCTGAAAAAACCTACAGCTTTGATGGTGCCAGGCATCCAAAACACCAGTCTTTGGCATCCCACCGTGATGTACACAGCCGACCCAAAGATGGCACCAAGACACCGGTTGCCAGTCGCTGTAGTTCTTCATGGCACCAGATCGCATGATGTATCGGTAGGCTTCTAGTTCCTCAGCTGAAATGCATCTCACCCACGGAAAGTCTCAGCGTTGTTCAAGCTATTTTAGCCTATTCAACAAGTTCAACACAATTACATTGACTTGGGGATTCAATTTTAAAAAATCTCAAGCATTTTGGGATTTTTTTTGACATACGAGATCATACGAGTATCATGCCAATACAGTCCAAATTCCAATAATCTTCACATGGTGAACTCCGATGATCACCCATATTCACCCCAATTATTTAGCATTACTATTAGCTACCATGTGTTTCCCACTATCAACCACTAGTTGTCCAATTCTCAACCCCTTGTCAGAATCTCAAAAGCATTCAAAACCTTCTCAAACACCATTGTGTGTTCCAAAATGTTTGCCTGTTTTCTAACTTCAAAATCCTCAAAAACACTATAGGTCTTTCCATATTTTTTCAGATGTTTCCTGATTTTTCCCTGGATTTTTCCCCAAAAAAAACAAAGATCCAGCGATTTCTTCCAGGTGGCCGGACAGGTGGCCAACTGCACGAAGAAGTTGGCCAGGCCACATCCCCTCCGCAGCCAGGACATGAACTCTGCGAAGAGCGTTGCGGCATCCGGGGTCCTAAGGAAAGCAATAGACCATAAGGGGATGATGTCATAGGTGATTTTTTTTTGGGATATCATCCATTATCGAATAGATATCATCCACTATTCAAGTTTCACTATTTTTTAGATAATCCACTATGATTCACATGTATGGATCATCTAATCATAGTGAATCATAGTGGATCATCATGTAAGTGGATTAGTGGATGAAAAAACGAATTATAACTATGGAACATCTAAAAAAAATATGGATTAGCTATGATTACTACTAACAATCTGGATGGATCATCAACTAGTGATGAGTATGTTGGTGAAAATGGATGGTTGTGGTGAATAGACTAATCTCAATGATTAGTCAATATGGATGTTGAGTACACTGTTTTTTTGTGTAATGCATAAAGATGATTAATGATCATTCGCCTGTCGTTTACCATGATGAATGGTGTGGGAATAAGTACTGTTCAGTTCATGATGACTAAACGCTAATGGTGAATACTTATGTATATTGGTTAATGCGTGTCATTCAGGGTTATATGAACTATATAAACTATGGGTTATATAGTAATGAATACACAATGGATACACAATCGTTAATGATGTTAACCATGTCAAATAATGTTCAATAGTGGTCATAAACATTACGATAGGAATGGATGGACACATATGGAATATTTGGGGCACTACATCATTACATCATCATATAGATCAAATAAAGCTATATATACATATATTATAGATTATGTATAGATAAATGGAATCTTGGAAAGGCATGCATGTTTCATAATGCTTTAGGTTTCAGTGGGATCTAGATGTGGAATAGCATGATATAGCTTGAAATATCCAAAAGAAGCCTGAAATTCAAATCCCAAATCCCAAATGCAAGCGCTGTTCCCAGGTGTTTATGCAGCTGAGATGCAGATTCCAAGTGAAGCACTTCTGATCTTGATTCAAACACAGGTCACCCTTGACCTTGAAGATCAAATGGCCATGCCTCACCAAAACGAAACGCCAGCAGCGACCATACCGGCCGTGTCCTGAAGTGTTGCCACCATGAAACCTTATATTCCTAGTAGCGGCCCTAAAGCGGCCCTAAAGCGACGTATTTGGCGTTTTTGTTCACGTTTCTTATCAAGTGCTGAGCGGCCATCCCTCATCGGACGCTGGTAGTCCTGGGAAGTTTGCGCAGTTTGCGCATGCATCAAAAAGATACTGCACTTGGTCCAGATTGTGCAAAATTGCAAGCGCAAAGTGACAAATAGTGAGAATATCTCCCACAAGATATCGGGCAAAATACTTCCCCTATTCTATTACCCCTCACGTCCCAAAAATCATGGTTCTTTGGCCAAGAAAAACCATGGGCCCATGGGCAAACCACAACAGCCATTTCCGATCAAGAACATTTAAGCATCTGTTCAATCTAATCTACAATTCATACAACCTTTCACCCATCATACTTTCGGTGAATCAAACGTCGCCCCAACCATCGCCGATCATCGCGCGCCTTGGATTTTGGCCTCCTTCGGCGGCCGTTCACGGATGTTGAAGGTGATCTCCACCACAGACAGCTGCATGAGTTCCACCTAAAGATATGGATTTTTTCTGTCTTCGCTGCCGAACTCGGAAAAGATCATGGGATTTTTTAAAAAAACGAACATCATCAACCATCTGATTCGAAACATGTATATATATATATATAGCCATAGATGGAGAATATGGTTCTTTAATGTTCTTTATATTTCTCTGGAAAATATGTAGAAATATCTCATCTGAGATGGTGGAAATGAAGATGCGTCGCACTTGTCGAGGAATTGACTTACAACTCAGGTTGCCGTGAGTTCTACCATTTCACCTAAGTAGGAAAACAGAAAAACTTCAGACACCAGCTAGAACCACGTGATCTTCCATTCCATGCACTGCTATACAGATCTATATTATCATTATATATTATATAATTATATATATATATATGTACACATATAATAATATATATATATATATATATGTATATATGTATATGTGTATATATATATATCATGATTCAGTAGATCTATCATCCAAGATCATGATCTCCATGGCCGCGTCACCAGGGTCTCTGCAATCAGCAGATCCACGAAGCGTGCGAAACGCAGGAGCCGCGCACACTCGAAACGCAGCTGGGAGCGTTGAGGGAAACTCACGTCCTGTGGGGCCACCGTGGTACCATGGATGGGACCAGGGATTACCCTCTGGTTATGACATTCACAGTTCGCCATGGTTAAAATCACCATGGCAATAGATGGTTTACATATATATGGTTTACCTACCGTTCTCAAAAATGGGTGGATTTTCCATGTGTTAGTCATAACCAGATGGTAAATCCCATGTAAATCCCATGGGAAATCACTGCATTTTGGGTCACCTAACATCCCAAAAAGGTGAAAATCCCATGGCCATCCGATGGGCTCCTTGGCAAATCCCAAGGTCTCCAGGGCGTCACTATCGTCTTTGGGCATGCCGGCGCGGATGATGCCCGGCACCGGGTGGACACCCTGGGCTGGTGGCAGCTTTTTGGAAGGGACCTACTACCAGTGGGACCAGAAAGGAACCGTTTGGGTCCAATTTCTATCCATGTTTAATTCATTTCTATACCAATTCTATACCATTTTCTATGCCATTTCTATCCCTTTCTCCCTCAATGTGAAATCCACACGGTCAAAGACGATGTTCACATTCCGTTGCGGAAACAGATGGAAAAAAACATCTGCTGCCGCTATGCCGCTGTGCTTTTGCCCAGGGTGGCCAGCGTGAAATCTGTTCGACGCGTCTCTCGCCGGACCTAAAAAGGCAAGCGACTGAAAGACTCGAACAATAGTCAAACTATACTCGAACTATAAGCATGATCATTTTATCATTATATTCAGTGCAGGGGCAAAGGGGGCCGAAGCGTGGGTTTCCGACGTTGCGCTGTGACGCTCCCGGGGGCGGGTGGCGCTGCGACGCTGCGACGCTGCGACGCTGCGACGCTACGGTGGGCGGGTGGCGCTGCGACGCTGCGTTGGGCCAGTGACGCTGCGACGCTGTTGGCGCTGCGACGCTGCGACGCTGGAGGCGACGCTGCGACGCTGTTGGCGCTGCGACGCTGCGACGCTGCGACGCGGGAGCGACGCTGCGACGCTGTTGGCGCTGCGACGCTTCCTTCTGCAAGAGTGCACACGGCGTTGCGTCGCGGCGCGACACGGAAACCCCCATTGAAGATCGTCAATGAATGTCGAAATTTATATATAACGGGGCTGAAAGAATTAAATCCTTATTGAAGATCGTCCATGAATGTAGAAGTTTAACGGGGCTGGGAGAATTAAACCCTCATTGAAGATCGTCAGTGAATGTAGAAGTTTAACGGGGCTGGGAGAATTAAACCCTCATTGAAGATCTACGATGAATGTAGAAGTTTAACGGGGCTGGGAGAATTAAACCCTCTTTGAAGATCGTCAATGAATGTAGAAGTTTAACGGGGCTGGGAGAATTAAACCCTCATTGAAGATCTTCAATGAATGTAGAAGTTTAACGGGGCTGGGAGGAATTAAACCCTTATTGAAGATCTTCAATGAATGTAGAAGTTTAACGGGGCTGGGAGAATTAAACCCTTTTTGAAGATCTTCGATGAATGTAGAAGTTTAACGTGGCTGGGAGAATTACACCCTCATTGAAGATCGTCAATGAATGTAGAAGTTTAACGGGGCTGGGGAGAATTAAACCCTCATTGAAGATCTTCAATGAATGTAGAAGTTTAACGGGGCTGGGGAGAATTAAACCCTCATTGACGATCTTCAATGAATGCAGAAGTTTAACGGGGCTGGGGAGAATTAAACCCTCATTGAAGATCGTCAATGAATGTAGAAGTCTAACGGGGCTGGGGAGAATTAAAACCTCATTGAAGATCGTCCATGAATGTAGAAGTTTAACGGGGGTGGGGAGAATTAAACTCTCATTGAAGATCGTCAGTGAATGTAGAAGTTTAACGGGGCTCGGGAGAATTAAACCCTCATTGAAGATCGTCCATGAATGTAGAAGTTTAACGAGGCTGGGAGAATTAAACCCTCATTGAAGATCTTCGATGAATGTAGAAGTTTAACGGGGCTGGGAGAATTAAACCCTCATTGAAGATCGTCAATGAATGTAGAAGTTTAACGGGGCTGGGAGAATTAAACCCTCATTGAAGATCGTCCATGAATGCAGAAGTTAAACGGGGCTGGGAGAATTAAACCCTCGTTGAAGATCGTCAGTGAATGTAGAAGTTTAACGGGGCTGGGAGAATTAAAACCTCATTGAAGATCGTCAATGAATGTAGAAGTATAACGGGGCTGGGGAGAATTAAAACCTCATTGAAGATCGTCCATGAATGTAGAAGTTTAACGGGGGTGGGGAGAATTAAACTCTCATTGAAGATCGTCAATGAATGTAGAAGTTTAACGGGGCTCGGGAGAATTAAACCCTCATTGAAGACCGTCCATGAATGTAGAAGTTTAACGGGGCTGGGAGAATTAAACCCTCACTGAAGATCGTCAATGAATGTAGAAGTTTAACGGGGCTGGGAGAATTAAACCCTCATTGAAGATCGTCCATGAATGTAGAAGTTTAACGGGGCTGGGAGAATTAAACCCTCATTGAAGATCGTCAATGAATGTAGAAGTTTAACGGGGCTGGGGAGAATTAAACCCTCATTGAAGATCATTGAAGATCGTCCATGAATGTAGAAGTTTAACGGGGCTGGGAGAATTAAACCCTCATTGAAGATCTTCAATGAATGTAGAAGTTTAACGGGGCTGGGGAGAATTAAACCCTCATTGAAGATCTTCAATGAATGTAGAAGTTTAACGGGGGTGGGAGAATTAAACCCTCATTGAAGATCGTGAATGAATGTAGAAGTTTAACGGGGCTGGGGGGAGTTAAACCCTTATTGAAGATCTTCAATGAATGTAGAAGTTTAACGGGGCTGGGAGAATTCAACCCTCATTGAAGATCTTCAATGAATGTAGAAGTTTAACAGGGCTGGGAGAAGTAAACCCTCATTTGAAGATCTGCAATGAATGTAGAAGTTTAACGGGGCTGGGAGAATTGAACCCTTATTGAAGATCTTCAATGAATGTAGAAGCTTAACGGGGCTGGGAGAACTAAACCCTCATTGAAGATCTGCAATGAATGTAGAAGTTCAACGGGGCTGGGAGAATTAAACCCTTATTGAAGATCTTCAATGAATGTAGAAGTTTAACGGGGCTGGGGAGAATTAAACCCTCATTGAAGATCGTCAATGAAGATCGTCCATGAATGTAGAAGTTTAACGGGGCTGGTAGAATTAAACCCTCATTGAAGATCGTCAATGAATGTAGAAGTTTAACGGGGCTGGGAGAATTAAACCCTCATTGAAGATCTTCGATGAATGTAGAAGTTTGAAGGGGCTGGGAGAATTAAACCCTCATTGAAGATCTTCAATGAATGTAGAAGTTTAACGGGGCTGGGAGAGTTAAACCCTCATTGAAGATCTTCGATGAATGTAGAAGTTTGAAGGGGCTGGGAGAATTAAACCCTCATTGAAGATCTTCAATGAATGTAGAAGTTTAACGGGGCTGGGAGAATTAAACCCTCATTGAAGATCGTCAATGAATGTAGAAGTTTAACGAGGCTGGGAGAATTAAACCCTCATTGAAGATCGTCAATGAATGTAGAAGTTTAACGGGGCTGGGAGAATTAAACCCTCATTGAAGATCTTCGATGAATGTAGAAGTTTAACGGGGCTGGGAGAATTAAACCCTCATTGAAGATCTTCAATGAATGTAGAAGTTTAACGGGGCGAGGTAGTGTTCAGAGGGGGTCGCTGGCTTGATCTTCGAAGATGCAACATATATTCAAAGGGGGTGGCGGGGCTGATGTCTCAAGGTGCAACGTATTGTTCAGAGGGGGTTGGGGAGTTGATGTCTTGTGATGGTGAAGATGCAACATAGTGTTCAGATGGGGTTCCAGGGCTACTGTCTCAGCTTGTCCGGTGGCTTCTCGGCTTCTCGGCTTCTCGGCTTGTCCGGTGGCTTCTCGGCTTCTCGGCTTCTCGGCTTCTCGGCTTGCCCGGCGGCTTCTCGGCTTCGCGGCTTCTCGGCTTCTCGGCTTCTCGGCTTGCCCGGCGGCTCCTCGGCTTCGCGGCTTCGCGGCTTCTCGGCTTCTCGGCTTGTCCGGTGGCTTCTCGGCTTCTCGGCTTCTTGGCTTCTCGGCTTGTGCCGGGCTTCTCGGCTTCTCGGCTTCTCGGCTCCTCGGCTTCTCGGCTTCTCGGCTTGTGTCGTACTTCGCGGCTTCTCGGCTTCTCGGCTTCTCGGCTTGTGTCGGGCTTCTCGGCTTCTCGGCTTCTCGGCTTCTGGTCGCATTTCTGGGCCCCTTTTGCCCGTGCTTTGATTATATTATCATTATATTATCATTAGACACATTTTTCTGCTAAAGGATAGGCATTTCCAGTCTGCACTCTAAAGGACTCATTTTTCTCTGTCGAAAACACTTCACTTCGTTGGATTTGGACTTCAGTGTTCTCAGGCCAAAGGCGTTCCCGAAGACATATATCATCATATCATCATATGTTAAATAAGTTTAAATGCCCCCCGGAACCCCCGGTGTAATACTGAATCCAATCATTTTGGTTGCGCATATTGTGGTGGAACTAGATATATTGTGGAGGAGAACCAATGATTCTGGTTGATATCAATGTCCTCCAATTTTTGCTGATATCCCATCATCACAGCCTGAAGTATACTGATAGGCAGCCCTAGTATGGGTTGTATGTCAAAATCTACTCCATCCCCAGGAACCTCATCTGACATAGATCACCTAAGTTAGTATAACCTGCCACCAAGAGATTTTTCATGCCTCATCTGACCCCCAAAAAACCCTTCGTACACCGAAGGAACGCTCTCCACCACCTGCACGAACATCCCGAAGACTTCCTGATGGGACAAAAATCCGCCGATCGGTGGGAGAAACTCGGAAGAACCTCCAAAAAATTGACGAAAATACCAAAATAAGTTGGAAAATGGATGAAAATGGAATGCAATAAACATGGAAAAAGTTGGGAATTCCATCAAATCCCAAAAACCATCAAATCCCATCCAATCCATGCCATGACTTTCCATCGCCGGGCGTCGGATCTGACTTTTTGGGCCTGTTGTTGTGCCCGTTGGAAGAGGTCGTGCTGCCAGTTCTCCTGGGCCACTTGGAATTCGGCCAAGGTCTGCGGCTGCGCGAAGTAGCTGCGCAAAATGCGGACGTTGGCGAAGTCTTGGAACATCCGCCGCATCGTCAGGTAGGTGTTACCTCAAAAACACATGGAAAACCATGGAAAACCATGGAAAAACAATGGAAAATAATGGAAAACAATGGAAAACAGTCTAACTGCAACAAAAGATCTCGAAAAAATGAGAAAGAAGCAACTTTTACACTTTGGCAAAAGCAGACATAGACTGCAACTCCATTTTTTTTTCGAACATTCTTTTGATGTCTTAGAAGATTCATCGTTCTCCAAGGCACGAAACCAGAGATGTAGCTGGAAGACCCGTTCCCCCACCGCCTTCCCCGCTTTCGCCATTCGTCCCCGGCGACCGGCGCTTCGCCAACTGATGAAGGCTTTCTGTGCCGGGAAGTCCTGGACCAAAAATGTGGCTTTTTTGGGATAAAAATGTGGTGTCTAAGTGGTGTGAACTGACACACTTTTATGTAGTTTGATAGATAGATAGATAGATAGATAGATAGATAGATAGATAGATAGATAGATAGATAGATAGATAGATAGATAGATAGATAGATAGATAGATAGATAGATAATAGATAGATAGATAGATAGATAGATAGATAGATAGATAGATAGATAGATAGATAGATAGATAGATAGATAGATCAATGATCTTGTATACCCTGAAATAATGCCTGGGTTCGATCATTTACTTTTATCCACTTATATACCCACCTGTGGGTGGTTTTCCTAGTTTTAGATACCCATCAATGGTATGTTTATGAAACACCTTCCAAGCCCTTCAGAATCCCCAATCAGAAAACACAGTCAACTTATACACATCTTTTCTCCGTGCTGGCTGCAGCGTGAAAAGGTCAAAGAAATCGCCACTCTGAAAAAGGGCCCTTAGCATTTTCCCAATTTTCATACGGCCATGGTAAATCATGGTGGGTAAATCATGGTAAATCCATGGTAAATCCATCGAAATCCTCAACCTTGAGAAAAAGCCACAACAGTTGAATCACCAGTTGAATCACCAGTTGTGGTGTAACAGTTGTATCTGCCTGAAAGAATCGCAGCTTCCGCAGGGCTCGGTATGATTCGCGTTCGTTGAGCCAGCGTTGAAGCGGCACAAAGCTCACGGGAACGCCGTTGACGTAGTGCGAGAGTCCCGCGGGGCTCAAAGTGGTGTAACTCGCCAGCGAAACTTCTTGGAAAGGCATCAATTCCATCTGGTAGGGTCCATTTGGTCCACAAACTTTTCGAACATAAACAAATTCCTTGGACCATGTCGAAACAAAAATGAACCAAAAAAACGGTTCTGACATAGTTGACATGTCAAAATCATACAGATTCCGAAATTTAGGTGGATGTTCAAATATGTTCAATGATTTCCATGATGTTCAACCATGATTTCAACCTTCCCATGTTTTTCTCCAATTTTCTCCAAGGTTCTTGGCCCAACACCTCAGTGACCTCGGCTCGATTCTCCAGGCTGGCACCTCTCAGAATTTCCAGGAACACATCGAAGGCCGGCAGCTCGCGGTCGTCGCGGTCGTCGCTGCGACGCGAGCTGCGGCTGCCGCTCTCCTAATGGGGGATGATCCAGTGATCCAAAAACGGGATGAAACGAAAGATGGAGATATTTAACATGATCTTAACAAATGAATTCATGAAGATGTTGTTGTCTTTTGAAGTCTTTTGTTTCGTTTTGTTTCCCTCTGCTGTCAGAGTTTTGGTTCGACACGACCAGAAAAATCGATTCCCTCCTGAAACTCGTCGAACCTGAGAGCAACAGCTTCGTCACACTGGTTCGACTGGTTTGACATAAGCCGGACATAATCACTTCATGATACTTCCATGACTTCTGTAAGCCTGTCTCAACCTAAGCACACATTGAAAAATAGATGTAATATATTGTAATATTCTGTAATATCATATTCTAGTATTGTAAATTGTTGTTATTGCGACCCTCTGAGATGATTTCACAACCCATCTGCTCCAACTTCCAAGGCGAATCCGAAACGAGGCTGAGCGGCTCTTCCAGCAGAGGTAGATGGGCCTCCGGGCTGAGACTTCACTCGGAAGCACAAAATATGTACATTGATACCATTATGTATATATATATATATGTGTATACATATGTATATATATATACATATATGTATATGTATATTGATCATAGTAAATACAAAGATCTTCTACATCTGAGTATGTTGAGAGATGTGAACCATCTACACCATCGAGAAGATATGCATCTGATCCACTGGGGATCATCCCAGATATTGCCACAGCTGTTCAAACTATCCATGTCCATATGGTTTTTTGACGATCTCGGAAATTCTAGTTGATCATATTGAGAATGATTGAAATTGCAGAAATATGCAGAAATACTAGTCATGTTTATGAATCATAATTGTAGTTCACCATGGATTATCATGGATTATCCCATGTAAATCCCATGTAAATCCCATGTAAATCCCATGGATATTTGGACACCACCAACCCGTCCCGCCCCGTCCCGCGTCCTGTGTCTCCACGGCTGGCAAGCTGCCTGCCGATTGGAGACTCTGTCGCCGAGAGTCGCGTAGGTCGCTCCTGGGCCGGGAATGATTGAGGAAACATTGATGAAGATATTAATGGGGATATGAAGCCAATTGGAATCATAGTATAATATATGGGAATATATATATATAGTGGTATAATGGGAATATTAATGGGGATAGTTATGAAGATATATATATATATCTTAATATTCCCAATGATTGGTATATAGAAGATATATATATATAGGTACAATGGGAATATATATATATATACAAATCATATGAAGAGATATATATGTGGGAATATTAATGGGGATATTAATGGGGATATCTATCATAAGTGAATCATAAGTATCATTGCGATGTTACATCATGTTTACTTATCATCGATTTCTATGATAATCTATAACTGGGACGGGATGTTTACTTGTGATAATCATTTTTTTACACTGTGTATGCGTAGAAAATTCAATGATAACTGCTTGGAATAAGAGAGATACCCAAAAATCATCGAAATTCCAATCATCGAGGAATTCATCGAAATTCCAATGATCGGAAGGGATTCCAGTCTGATTCCAGATGTCCCTGCACCAAATCTGATCAGGTCCAACCATGTGGGAAGAGCCCGAAGCTTGAAGCTATTTGAAACTCTACTGGCAGTAGTCTGTCAACTGAAAGTAACCCCAAAATCGCATGGTTCACCAAGACCATTGAAATTGCCATAAATTGCTGGTACCCTCTGGTTATGACTAACATAGCCATGGTATAGATGGTGGAAAATGGCCCTAATCGAAATAGATGGTTTACCTGGTTTACCCTTCTTAATAGCATGGTTGGATTTTCCATGGCTATGTTAGTCATAACCAGATGGTAAATCATGGTAAATCCCATGGGAAATCACTCCATTTTTGGTAACTCCCATGGATTGGTCGAGCTGCTTCTTCCCACAGACTGACTCGATAAGTCGCTGCGCGTCGGCCACCTGGAAATGTTGTCTGCACCGTTTCGGGGAAGTTCCGACAGGACAACACAAACCCAAAGTTCATGGCAAAAAACTCATAAAATATATCTCAAACTGTCTCAAACTATCAAACCCCATGAGTACAAAACATCCAAAACATCCAAAAGTCCATCAATTGTCCATCAATTGTCCATCAATTGTCTCAGTTTCCCATCCATTTTCTGCCCATGGGAAGCTCCACCTGCAGCCGCGATGGATTCTCCGGCCGCGGCGTCGTACACCGTGCCGAACGCGCCGCGGAGCCCGGCCGCTCGGAGCGCGCGGACTGGGGACGGTGGCCCACGGCCTCCAGGCGCCTCCATGGGATTTTTATGGGGATTTTGGAGATCCAAAAATATACCAAACCCATGGGTTTTCAAAAGAAAACCCATCCAAAAAGACAACTATAATCCCATGGGAAGCTGATTCGAAAATATTCGAAACACTGATTCTTGTCGGAGAAATGGAATATAACATCTCCATTTTGAACAAAAAACGAACAAACATCCATTTTGGGGGGCGAAACTGCGCCTGCGCAGCTCGTTCTTTGACAGCTGCATAGCCTGGTCTTCAAAAAAAAACTGTGAATTGGCGGTTCCTTGGGTCAAATTCTGTGGTAAAATTTTGTGATATCCATTTATAGTTGGATTAGTTTGTGGTAGTAGTTTGCACTTAGGTGGTGAATTTTTGATCAATAGAGGGTATCTGAAACCTATTGACCCATTGTTTCGTGTTCGTGTTGGCTTGTGCATGTTCATGAAATTCAAGAGAACAAGAACCGCAAAGCGAAAAATGACATGTCTTCATCGTGAGTCTTCATCAGCCTTTGGATTTTAACCTCGCTATCCACACATTTCTCAGCGGAAGATGTGCTTTCGCCCGGCCTTGCCGTAGCCATCGAATGGAGCCGTGTGGTGCCGTGGATGATTTGTTTTTGCGGATCTGCGATGTTGGGCACAGCTGAACAATGCTCATCTTAAATAATCTGAATAATGGCCTAAACATCTTCATGTGATGCTAAGAACGGTTCTTGTGATTAATAATGGACACAATCTAAGAACGGTTCTTGTGATTAAGAATGGACACAATCTGAGAACGGTTCTTGTGATTTTGTGTCCTGCATTCCATGTTTGTCGCATCGCTGCTTTTGTCTCATGATATCCATGCGAAATCTTGGAGCCATTGGCATTCGGCAATCAGCATGATGAGTCATTGATGCGCTGGGCGATGATGGGCCAACTATATATTAATTGGTTGATGTGATCAGTGATACAATAGTGATACCATGGGGGATGACTGGTTATAACTGGTTGACAACCTTTTTTAACATCATGAAACCTCTTCCGCACAGTTTGATGTTCAACCTGTCATCACTCTTTCTTTTCAGTGCGCTTCGCGTCAAGGTGCCACTCTCAGTACTGACGGACCTCGTTTTTTTCGAAATGTGCCGATCTGGGATGAGTTTGACTGACTTGGTTGTGTGATCTCATATCATCTAAATCTAAACTGTATAAAAAAAATATGAAAATAAAATATATAATATTGATATATCATCTATCTTGGTGTTTATTGTGATCATCTACAAAACAATGGCACCCAAACTGCTTGGAATCCCAGCCATGTCTGGAGTTCGTCAAATTTGCGATGGTGGATGGGGGTTTGCCGGGATCGGGTTTACCTCAACTCATCACTTTTTGGTATATCCATGTTTCTCCATGTTTTCCCCATTTTTCATGATGAACTCCACAAAAATCCGGTGCTTTTTTCAACATTTTTCCATGATGTTCCACCAGGGCACGGCCCTGTCCACGTTGGTCTTGCAGATTGGGCAGTCGGTGCAACGCCGCAACCATTGATCGATGCATTGCACGTGGAACACGTGGCCACATGGCAGCTGTCGAACCTCGGGATCCCAATGGGATGGCAGTGGCAGTTGATGGGGATGGTGAACCAGGAAAAGCCAGCTGGAAAAGCAATAGAAAATATAGAAAATATAGAGCTTCCAATGATTTGAGTACATGATAATACATGATAATACATGATCTAAAATGGTGGATATCATATTGTAGAATAGAATAATGGGATGTAATGGGGCTTTAATGTTCCTAAAACTGGAGTAAAAAGAACGGTGGAATGACTAAAAATTTGTAGACTTTTGCTGGGTCTCAAAATGGGGACCACTTTAAAGTCCAGTAGGCTTTACCCCAGACTTGCCATATATATATATTATGTGGAGATTACCATCTGGTTATGACTAACATCGCCATGGAAAATCCAGCCATGCTATTAAGAACGGTACACCATCTATTTCGATTAGGGCCATGGCTTAACCGCTTAACCATGGCGAACTGTGAATGTCATAACCAGAGGGTAAGAGACTCCCCATTTCCAGAAAATTCAGATGTGGAGAACATCGCCCGGATCTCGGGTCGTCCGACCTCATTGGAAGCCTCGAAAGAATTGAGGCACACCTCGGAGGCCAAAAAACACACGGGAGCCCAGTGACAGATCTGATATGGTTACCATATGAGGTTATCCTGAGGTTATCCTGAGGTTATACCTGAGGTTATCCTGAGGTTATCCTGAGGTTATACCATGATATACGATGATATATCGGTTATCATGCTATGGTTACCATATGGCTACCACGATATGGGGTTAATTGGGGCTATATCATTCGGCTATGTCTCAAATGCCTATCTGAGTCTCAAGGCCCTGACCATGCACGTGGTCTGTCCATTGTGGTCCGTTTCCGGGTTCCACCTGGGATATCTCGCTGAGAGTTAGCAACAAAAAAGTGCTTACAATTGGGTATATGATTTGTGATGTTTTGTGGTATAAATATATGATAATATAATATATATATATATCCCCGTAACAAATCTTAATTCAGAAATTTTGAATGTCGAAAATCAAAGTCTTAACAAATCATTATCCGACCATCCCATCACATCCCCATGGCGCGTGCGCCGCGTGCGCCGCGGTGCTGCGCCTCTGTGTGGGGATGCGCTCAATGTGTTCCTGCTGCATGCCATGCCGCCGAGACAAGATGTCCTGGACCTGGCGGGTCAGAAAAGGTGTGAGGTGGGACGTCCATGAGATGTCCATGGAAATCATGGAATTTCGGGACTTTGGGACTTGTTCGTTGATTCATTGGTGAGTTGTTTTGAGTATTTGAATTCATTTGAATCAATTTGAATCCAACCACCATGGCGTTGGATCATTGACAGCGCAGTGCCATGGTGCCGTGGTGCCGCGGTGCAGTGCCTCAATGAGCCGTTCTTCATAGCCTCCAGCAATGGCCTTCGCTGAGTTTCCGCTGAGTGTCCGAAGCGAGTTTCGGAGGATTTTCCGGCGGATTTTCCCGAAATCCGCCTCTGTGTTTAGCAACATCATCTGAAGGCCGGGGGGAAGAGTTTGAAGCTGTTCAATCCTCAGCATACCCCCAAGTGCCAAAATACCACATCTGTCCACGGAAGCAACACATCACAACAGGTGGCAGCTCACAACATGTGAATACTTCATCATATTTCATCAATTTTCATGGTTGCAGTGGTTCTTCAAAAGCTCAAACCCCCAGATTTAGCATCACTAAGCAACATGACTTTCTCTGTTCTTGCTCAGCAAAGCAATCTCTTCCAGAGGAAAACTTGGATCGCTGAGCTGCATTTCTGGAGGGAGAAGATTCCTCAGTGATGGGTGAAGTACTCCTTCGCAAAAGATGGTGGTGTTCTTACCTCGCAAGAGCGCAGCATGGAAAAAATGGTCTTGGATGCCGCTCACCAAACGAGCTGTGAGACGACTGGGCGAAATTCTCAATTGTATTCCCTCATGTTCAAAGAGACTTCTCAGCAAAATCATCCATGATATTTCTCCCATTTTCTCCTCATGAATAGCAATCCATAGCATATCTATAAATTTATCATCTTTTATCATGATTTATCATGATCTATGGATATCTATGGCATATTTCCCAAGTTTTTTCATCATCTTCCCATCATCTTCCCACTGGGCCCCGGACCAATTCGTGCAGGTCCCCGTGGCTCGCAGCACACCACTTTGAACTGCACACCCTGCGCCGCGCGCGCTGGCGCGGTCGTTTTGTCACGAAAAATCTGTGGAGGATGTTGGGATAAACATGGGATGAACTTGTTTTATTCTATGAATGTCTCAAGTTAAGATGTTTTTAAGATGTTTGTTGTTGTTTGTTGATGTTTGTTGATTGTTGTTCTCGCTTGGGCTCTTTTTCGTTCCACGATCCAACCACCAACGACAAGATGACAAGAGATCGACCGCCTTTCTGCGGAAAAAAGTAGGCCACAGGTACGCGGATCACAAAGCTGCAGTTTCAACTGCACGTTGCGGTCACTTGACGAGCTCAAAGAAAAAACCTGCCTGGAAGGTGAAATGGTCGTTGACACCAAAGTTCTGAAGTTTGTTCCTGACCATCGGCATGTCCAGAAAAATGACGATTTCTTCGACAAGCGCTTTAAAGAATGAAAAGATTTGAAAAGGCTGAAGGATGCTGAAGGTTTGAAAAGGTGCAATATGAAACAAATGGCTGAGGCAAGATACCACAACTTGAATCACCATGAATTCACTTTGAATCATCGGTTGTGGCCGATCAATTCAGTTGGTTCGGGATGGTTCCGGATGCTTACGGGTCCACACCCAAGATCTGGGCCTTGTCAGATATGGCTTCAGGTAGTCATTGAAGACATCGTATTCATACCTGAGAAGAAATAGAGAAATAGTAAGAAATGAGGAGCAAAAACAGAAGGAGCTCATTTGAAAATCCTACAGTCCTACAAGCACAAAGAAAAGTACCAAGAATTGCAGAAGCCAAAGCTTGGATACTCTGAGCATCTCTGAGCATCTCTGAGCTCTGAGCACCCGACGCAGCTGGTAGGGTGTCTTGGAAGGGCACAAAGTGGATCTTCGAAAATTCGGGCCTCGCCACGTCGCCATGCCAATCACATCCGAAATTTCCCGAAATTTCCGTCCCAAGCTGAGCAGCAGGGCGTGTTGTCCCAATCGACATAGACCACGGTGTTCAGATCCACGATGCCAATCTCGGGAGGGATGGGTTCAGCTGCCATCACCTGATGTCATCGACCAATGGAATGACGTGGACAACGTGGACAACGTGGACAACGTGGACAACGTGGACACCAAAAAAACGGTGTCAAAACCACTGGAATACAACTGATTCCCAGATATTCCCAGCTGATTCATCTGATGTGTTTGATGGAATACAACTGATGCGTCAGATTGAAATGAAGAAATCGCTGGATGGGCACCTGGAATTCCATGTTCTGGATGGGCAATCGCTCGTGCAGGGCCAAAATGCTCGTGACCTCGCTCCAGTGACCAATACGTATTGACATAGTCTATTGTATCAATGGGAAATATGAAATATGCAATATATGCAATACATCGAATTTGATGTATAAAAGCCTAGGATCACCAGTTTCCAGATGTTTCCATCATCTTCCATCATCTTCCAGCCCATTCCAGCCCATTCCAGCCCATTCCAGCTCACCTGCTGGGAGTTTTTGCTCCGGAAGTAGGGATTGATGTAGTCCCGGAACAACGTTGTGGCATCCTGGTCCGTCTTCGCGCGCTCAAAGTCCCAAAGGCACACGAACTGCACCTGGCAAAAAACCCGTGGCATCCAGTCAGGCTGGGGGTTTTAAATGGGTTTACCATGGTTTACCATATGACATTGGTAGATACCATATGCCATATGGCCACATGGTTTACCATGGTTTACTACGACATTGACTGGGTAGACCTCGCCCACAAGATCTGCTGGATTTTTAGGATTCACTTATGCAGCGAGGAGCAAGACACATGAGAAAAACATGTCAAAATTGAGCTGCCGATATGAAAAAAATGTGGTCATTAATTTTTAACAGCACTGCGCTAAAATTACGCGAGAAAATGTGGTCCTTGGACGCAGCTTTTGATCCTCAAATTTCTCCATCTTTCTTCATCTTTCTCCATCCTCCGCACCTTTTCAAAGCGCTTCAAGGGAGACCCCTCGATGAAGTAGTCGGTGTTCATCGCCTGCCACCGGCCAACGTGGACAGAAACGGACAGAAAATCCAGTGAAAAATATATATATATGAATGATATGTGAATATCATGAATTCAGATGATTTCAGAATAGTTCAGATACATTCTGACATTAACATGTTGTTGACATTGGTGACAAAAAAGTGGAACTGAAATGGGTCAATTGTCAAGCTCAGACATGCACCAGCACAGCTTCATCCGGCTCGCACTTGACCTCACACAGAGCAGCCCCTAGAGTGCAATGCGAAAGATGCATGGATGAAAACAGAAAAAAAAACGAGAGATTGGGGGTGTTGCGCGGCAAGACTACTGGGATCTACTGGCAGACTGGGCATTCTTTCACACAAACATATCATATATGATTCATATGATTCGGTTTACTGTGTAACTTGTCTTGACCTTCGCTCTTTCATCTCTTTCCTCCAAGGCCCGGCCCACAAGCTACGCAAACGCAGAATGCACAGAATGCACAGAATGCATTGAATCTGTAAACGATTCTGGTCTCCAAAGATCTCCAAACATCTCCAAACCCCATCCGCATCCAACGGGCACAAGCTACGCAGCTACGCAGCTATGCAGCTACGCAGCTATGCAGCTACGCAGCTTGGCCGCTTGGGCTTGAGATCCGAACCACCACAAATTCATATCCCGGAGGTCTCAGAAACATGCCCGTCTTCACAGGCACCTCACAGAACGCACAGAACTCCTTAAAGAACTCCTGCGTTTTTTGCTTCGTTTTTTGCTTTCGTTTTTTGCTGTTCGTTTTTCTTTTGTTCCTTCCTTTCCCTCCATCTCCCTCCCTATCTTCGCCTGATCCGCGCGCATTTTTCGCAGAGTTGGAGTTAGAACGCTCAAACGCCTCAGTTCATTTTGCAATGCACAGAAAAAATCCGGCAGAAACAGCAGAAAACCAACAATCGGAGTTGTCACGTGTTGTGACATCTTGTGACATCAGAAAAGAGTCTTGATCAGTCTTGTCTCAAAATCGGTGCCAAAATGTGCCAGGAAATCTTTCGATGTTTCTCAGCAGTTCCAGGTTGCTGCAAAGTCACTGATCCTGCTCACAGGAGCAAGGATGGACAGGAAGAATATGAACCCTTCGAGCATTCCTTAGCACTGCCGTGCGCCGTGCGCTGTGCGCTGTCTGTTCAATGGTCCAGTTGCACGAGTCAGCTAGTTTTGTTATGTTTTGTTATGTTTTGATATGTTTTGTTATGTTTTGTTATGTTTTGTTGGTATGACTTGGTATGATCAATGTGATCCCATTAGATCCCATTCGATCCCCGAGTGGTCTCAATCGGGCTTATTCCCACAATGCCCTACGGGGCCTGTGGTAATCTTTACCGCTGTTCGGATCTGTGTTTTTCCACGCGCCCCGTCTGAGCCAGCTGCTTCGTTGTGCTTGAGACCTGAGGGTTTCACTAAAATTAGTGTGATGGGTGCAAAGAGCTGGGTGAATACATGTTCAATTTGCAGGTCATGCATGGTCATGCATGGCCATGCATCGATTTGACCACGAGCTGCTTTCAGTTTTCTTGCTGAACAATGTACTTTCAGACTTTCAGACACTAGGATTCAGAAACAAAATCATAGCATCTCATAGATCAATGGGAATTCAAATTACACTGCCATTGCTCTTTTTGGCGAAATTTCCCCGACAACTACGGATCCAACAGCCTCTCTGAGCACAGAATGGGATCCAAAGGCACCATCCCATCACCATCCCATCCTCCATCGGATCGGATCATAGCCATAGCTATAGCTATAGTTCAACCAGTCATGACAATCATATTACAATCATTCCATTATAGGATTGGATCTAGCTATAGTAATCATAGCTATTGACGAACCATCTCTTGGACGCTCCAACTGAGCTCCACACGGCGGTGGCCTCGGTGCTGCCACTCGGCGAGGTGTCGCTGGCGCCCGCGTAGCCGGCCGCGGAGGGCGCCGCCGAGGGCGCCGCCGAGGCCGCCGACGCGGCCGCGGGCGCAGCCGTGGCCTGGGAAAATGTCATTCATTTCAGTCATTTCATTCATGTTGGATCAATTGGATTTAATGAATACTTTCATATCTGATAAATCTAATGATAAATCTATGTAAATCTAAGGAAAATATTGAAATCAGATTGAGTCGAACTTAATCCATCTTAATCTATTTTCATCTTACGATTTGAACTGAAATTCTGGTTTGAGATATTGATTTTTGATTTGATATTTGGAAAATCATCTCGATTCGACAAAATGATTTCTGTGTCACGGTGTGTCACGGTGTGTCACGGGCGCCTCCTGTGCACCTTGGGCACCTTGGGCACCTTGGGCACCTTGGGCATCTGCAGCCTTCTGTGCCTGCCATTTCGCTCTCTGCGCCTGACAGCATTTCATGGCGGCGCAGCATGGCGCATGGCGCATGGCGCAGTGTTTTGTGATCCCGGGAGATTCCGGGAGATTCCGGCCTCACGGTAATCCTCCATGCCTCACAGCTGTCTCGGTGTCTCAGAGGTGTCACAGCAAGACAAGATAGACAAGAGAAGTTGCGACACTGTTTCGGCAAGTACCCCCGGTATCCTCTTTCAACACTTCTTTCAGACTTGAAGTCTCCATATATATGTGTCATGATATTTCTTGTACAATTCTTATACTTCTTCCGAACTTCTTCCGAACTTCTTCGGAACTTCTTGTTGTTTCTTCGCGTTTGGGGTTTCGCTTCGCCTTTGGCTGGGCAGAGACTGTCCAAGCGTCACAACGCCGATGTGAGAACTGTGAGAACCTCCAACCCGTGTCGAACGTATTCGAACGTGAAACCAAGTTGAAATAAGTTGAATCCTCTAAACAAAACTGCTGAACCAAGTTGAACAAAATTTAACGTTGTGATCCTGACTGTGGTGCACTGTGGCACATTGTTCATCATTCTTCGGTGCTTGCATTGCGTGAACGGCTTCCAAAAGCAAAGTCACACCATGTCACATCTTGCACCATGCTGGATGCCGAAAAAACAAAGATTGGAAGCCAAGATCAAAAGAATGGCCGATGCAGGATATCAATGGATATCAAAGATATAAAAGATCATATTTTTGAAACATAACGAAACATTAATGAATCGAGTCCCAGAGGGCACCGACTGTTTTCGGACTCGCAGCTGAAATGCGAACTCCGCCGGTGAAACTCAACGAATTCGGCCGGTTTAGCCTTACGTCGCATGGTGCACGTTGCTTCTCCATTTTGCCTGGTCTGAGCGAAAATCTATCCTCACCATTCCTCACCTACAGTCCCTACATGTGCGCCCACAAGCTACGGAAGCTACTGATATCAGCAGACATTTGGGCTAAATTTATCGAAAACCATCATCATTGATCAGGATTCTATGGTATGTTGACATGTTTTGACATGTTTCGCCATGAAAAAATATGAAAAAACCGTGAACTGTTGAAGTATTGAAGTGTTGAACTGTTGAACTGTTGAACTGTTCTTGTTTTGGTCATTTTTGGTCACAGTCTCACTGTGCGCTGTGGCAGCACAAGGTTTGACCTTGCGACGGCCACGCTAGCCACTTGCTGGGCGCGTTGGATTGGCCATGGGTGCAGTAATGGGATACCTCGGCACAGCCGCACATGATGCACATGTCATATAGATATATATATATATTATATATATAGGTCATACATATGTCATATATGTCATATGCCAACAAAATCCAACAAATCAAATATGATCAACTATGCATCTGGGTGCTGATGCGTTATTTCAAGACATCGTAATTGAATGTAATTGACATGCACTTGGATCGTGTACAGCTTCTAGGCATGGCATGAAAGCTTTGCGCGGCTTCAAACTGATCTCAGCTGCTGACCTTTCTACACGCTGCTGGATGATGCGCTGTTGGTTTTCCATCTGCATTTTCAGATTCTGATAGCCTCAGTGTCACCAGTCGCCAGTGTCAGACCCGGAAAAAATGAAAAATCATGATATGATCACTGGCGATCACTGGTAAACAGCCTGGTAACCCCAAGCGCCCTGTCCAGCTACCTCAATTTTCCTATCTGGTCTGCCTAAATCCTCGAGCTGACTCAAGCTGTTTGAAATCCATTAAACTCCGAACTAAAGGGTGTTGTATTTATTTGTTTACGAAAACCTTCCAATAAATTCAGTTTTACAACATCCAATATCCGAAAAAATCTCAACAATTTCGTCCATTTCATGGAAAAAAAAACACAATTTCCCCAGTTCCTTCATGTTCTTTGACATTCTTTGACATTCTTTGACCATCTCGGTTTCCGCGCGCTGCAGCAAGCGTTCCATCTCCATCTTCCGGGAACGCTTCAACTCTTCCCGGGAGGCCCTGCAGGTCACATCGTCACATCGCATGGCAACCATGGCAACCCGCATGGCAACCCGCAACGGTGCGGGTTTTTTTCTCTGGGCTCCCAACTTGAGACGCTTCAAGAGACCACCCATCTCAAGCTGCTGCTTGTGAAGAAACCTCGAGTGCACGGAAGTAGTGCGATGATGTGAGATTCTTTGAGATGTGAACTTTGGAGATGTGAACAAGATTGAACAAGTGAAACATGTGAAAAGATACTTCAAAACCAAGATGTGCCAAGATGTGCCAAGATGTGCCAAGATGTTCCAAGACTCCAACTGTTCTTCCATCACAGCTATTCGAGCTTCGCGTTTCTCCTCGAGAACGTGAAACGCTCTAAACTTCGCACAAGTTGTCTAGCACCGCAGCAGTGGCAGTGCCAGATTTCTGTTTTTTGATGTTCCCCTCATTCCTTGATGTTCCGTCCTTCCACTGATTGTGCTCTCTTGCTTCCAGCTTATCTGCCTGGGCCTTTCAACGCTCTCAGCACAGAAATCGGAACGTTTACACCGTGAACATGCTGCGTTTCTTCCGCGAAAACATTGCAAAAGCTTAGGATTCTTATTTTAAAAAAACGTGTCAAGACATATCAAACCCTTTCAAACCGTTGTGGAAGGGTGGTACTGAAGAAGCATGGCGCAACTGGTACGTTTGCAGCTGCGGCAGCACTTCCCGCCTTGGTTTTTTCAGCCTCCGCATATTTCCTCATCTTTGCGAGGGTCTCCTGTGGCCCAGCTGTCCCATCGCTGTGAAAGTTGTGGAAAGACCAGGTCGTGACGGTCATGACGGTCATCCATCCAGGAAGGCTCCCATATCAGATGCTTCACTTGTGTGATCTCTAATATGAAATGAATTGAAATGAAATGCCATTAAAATCATTAAAATTACGATAATTTGATAATGGATTGATACAATATATACAATGGGGGTTTTCAATTTTTTTCAAATTTTCAACTGTCAAGATGGTGTCATCACTTGGGCTCCTGGATCTTGCGCAAGTTCAGCAAGTCGCGGCTCCAGCGCGGCGTCCTAGGCTCCACCTCGCGCCGGAGCTTCTCCAAGTGGATCTGGGCCGCTGGGCGACGATTGGGCGACAACATGACTGGGACATCTTCGACTCATGGCCTTTCCATGGCCTTTCCATGCCTTGAGAAGTCGTGCAATACTTATGGATATTCCATATATTCCATATATTCCATCTATCAAGTGTGGCAGATTAGGTAGATTCCAACACCACCAGTGATTAGTTTGCTTTCAACCTGCTCTCAATCCAAACCAGAAGATTTACAGTAGTCAGAACCAGATTTTTCAACAACATCATCTTGATTTTTCAACCATATCTTGATATATTTTGATCATACACTGTTACTGGACAAAGCGAAGGCGATGTCTTTGAAAAATCGGTTGGATTCGGTTGGATTCGGTTGGATTTTTTGTTCACTGCATAGTTTCGCTCCAAACTCTCCAAATGAAACATCAAATACTTGATATTATTATATATAGATATATAGATATATATAGCCATTCTTCAAATTTCATCCACGCATTGGCATTTTCTATGTTTTGGCCTTTCCTTGCAGGCTCCTTTTTGTAAGGCATTTTGAATTGGCCCAGAAATGTGGGAGTTTCCCTCCTCGGCCCGGACATCCAGCAGAAAACTCTGTTTTCTAACCCACCAGGAAAATCCCGAGGTGACAATCATTGACCACCCGACATCGGCCCAGCCCATTTTCCTGCCTGGTGTTCCTGTTTATGTCTGGTGGCCAGCACCGACTGGAGCTGATTCGCCTCGCTACCGCAACATTTAAGATGACCATCCAACATGTGGATCTGAAACGAACTGTTGAACAGCGGAATGACAAAAAGGAAGAAACTCTGAGAAAATGCAAAACATGTTTTCATAATTTTTCATATGTTTTCTGTATATGAACCTTCACTTCTCAAGCGGACCTTGGCTTCGAAATCCTGTTGCTTCTGGTCCCAGATGTTGCTGAACTCCTCCACAGTTGTGACTTGGTGATCTAGTCCAACTGACCATGGGAAAGTCCGCAAAGAGAAAATTTCGACCACTTCATGAATTAATTGATATGAAGTGATATCGAGTATTAATGATATTAATTAATATATTAATATATTTGTTTTGCTTCATGAAATTCACGGCAGATACATCGCAATGGATAGTCACTGAATGTCGAATCGGAAATTCATGGACTCCAAAGGTCCAATGGCAGCCGAGTGACCTGCAAGCCCAACATGTGTGCTTCTTCAACACCCATTCGTTCAGCAAGCCTCACTTTGTGTCACAGCCGTGCTCACCGAACGGGCACCGAACGGGCACCCAACGGGAACGAAGACTCCAATGGCAAAAGAAAACCATCTGGAAATGGAAAGACTTCGGAGAAGTTTGTGACTTTGCAACCATTTTGCAACAAAAATTCACAAACCAAAGAAGGGCACCCCCATAAACATCCATAAACATCCCTGTACCCTAACCGTAGCCTAACCGTACCGTAACCGGTTTGACAAACAGCGACGTTTTGAGACGCGAAACTGCTGTTCCAAGAGGGCATCTCGACGGCTCTTCTCCTCGAATCGACGTCAAAAAAGATGTTACCCTCCGATAAACTAACAGTTTGCTATTGAAAATGGCCAAAATAGCAATCGAATTAGTTGCTATAGTTGATTTATGTTGATTTATGCTGATTTACCTATTGAAAATAGTGATTTTCACGATTTTCCATAGTCATGTTAGTTTACCAGAGGGAGCTGGTTACGTGGCTCACATCCCACAACAGATGTCCTCGTGCTGTCGTAGCTGGTCCAAGCGAAGACGCGCCAATTCGGCTTCTTCGTACCTTTACCAACTGCACCGTTTCGGTCCCTGCTGGTTGGTGGTGCAATGTGCCCATCTTGAAAAATATGAGTTAGTCAATGGGAAGGATGACATCCCATATATTATGGAAAATAGAAAATGTTTGAAACCACCAACGTTCCCTGTTTCTTGCTGCGTTTCCCACTGTTTCCCACTGCTTTCCTTCCACATCATGTCAACATGCCACTTGCTGGGTGGAAAAAATGGAAAAATTCATCTCTGCCCCTTGCTATTCACATCTATTCACATTCACACAAAGTAGTCTTCTAATCTTAGGCTTCGCTGGTTTCGACTCGCTCTGGGCCCTGGGCCTTCCAGTCTGCTCACAGTCAACACCTTAATGATCACAAGAAACAACGTTCCAAAAAGCAAAGATTCGCTGATGGGATCGATATGGATCGATATGGATCGATATGGATCGATATGGATCCATTGGCACAGAATAAATGATATCCATGATTATCCATGAAATCCCACGATGCTCTTGATGCTCTTGATGCTCTTGATGCTCTTGATGCTCTTGGATGTGGAAGTTTGATGTAAAAAAAAAACCGCTGGGTTCTCCACGGTGGTTCTCCAATGCCAAGAGCAGCTCTTGGATGCTGTGGCCTTTCTCCTCGAATCGAAATCGAACCGAGATCCAGAGATCATGGGAGTTTTCACGCGGCGACAATGGGAAAACATCGCAATCGGATTAATCGAGTCCTCGGAATCATCAATCGATGCCTCTCCATTCATGAGCGCTACAGTCGTGCCGACCCATGGCCCATCTTAATCGGAGCCAACATTAATCTGCAGACATTCAGTGGCATTCAGTCGTCGTATCAGAGCCCAAAGAGTTTTGATACAAATCCACGGGCACGAGACTTCACGAGACTTATGAGATATGTTGAAAATGTTGAACAAGTTGAAAAAATGGAAATAGATACTTCTCCTGAATTGTGAAAAACTGTGGAAAAAACCGCCCGATTGAACATTTAAGGCCGAGCTCTCTTCACCTATCGAGGTGTGGGCATATAGCATCCCGCAAGTCGTCGCGTGCAATATTTTGGTATCGCGATCCGACTTGAAGCGGATGCAAATCATGAGAGAACATCGTTCATGGACGGCTGTCAGCCTCGATGCGGCAGCATTTCAGACCTCTTTTTCTTGGGCTACACTTGCATTGTTGCCAGCCTCTGCTTTTAAGAGGCACAAAAACGAACCAAAACCCATGTTGCGCGAAATGAGGTGAAACGACCATTTGGAATTTCTATGCCCTCGAAGCGGATCTCGGTCTTCCAAACATTTGTGGAAGCTAGGATACCGAAGGAAGCAAAGCCATCAAATGTGTTGTTAACAATTTGGGATATGCGAAAACACAAAGTTCAAAACAACCAAAGCCATGGTTTGAACACAATTTCCTTACGCGGCAGTACATTTCTCTGCCCAGATCTGCCCAGCAGCCTTCATGGCCGCCGGTTCAGTGCCGGGAAGTGCCTGGATGGATTCAGTTTCACCCAAAATCGCGGACTTTACTACAATGAAAAGTTTACCATGTTTACCATGAATATCACCTCTGAAACCACCAACACGATTCTATACACTTCGCAGATGCACCAAGACTCCTTGAAGATCAGAACGTCTTCAGAACGTCTTCAGAACGTCTCGCTGGCATCGATCCAAAACTTTGGATGATCAATCAGCTGGATGTTGCCAGCATCGGCCACGACATATTTTCCAGGATGAGGCGTGCCACTCTTGATCTTCAGGTCATTGTAGAGCATGTCCTGAAGTTGTCTGAAGGTCTGGGGAGAACCGGGAGAACCGGGAAAAAAATGATCCAACGGATCCAACGGACATTTCGTGTCACTATGTGTCATTTATAGTGTCGCTTGGGCGGGCCTCATGTGTCAACTCTTCCTGTTTGGCATGCAATGAGGCCCTGTTTGTTGGAGTCGGAAAGACATAGTGATCATAGTGACGTATGTATAATCGAAGGAAGTTTAGAACTCAAACTTCCGACAATATGGACAGATGAAAAGCAGAGATGGGAAGAGTCAGAGAAGAGAAGAGAAGAGAAGAAGAAAGAGAAAGTCTCAGAAGAAAGAAGACGCAGGTGCGCGAAAAGGTAGGAAAGTCGCGAAACACTGTGTTTTTTCCAGTGATTTGGGGCTCCGGAGGGTCGAAAAGTAAGCTTGCTAAAGCGGCGGGCGCGGAGCCATCTGGCCAGATGAGAGATGAAAAATTGCACGCCGTTGTGGCGCGAAGCACATTTTCAAGTCAAAATGTACAAAACACACCAGCTCCGGGCCACCTTTAGTAGTTGAGACGTCGAAAAAGTGCACGCCGTTGTGGCGGGAAGCGCATTTCGAAGTCAAAATGTACAAAACAAACCAGGGTCGGACCACTTTTGTAAGTTGCGATGTCGAAAAAGTGCACGCCGTTGTGGCGCGAAGCACATTTCGAAGTCAAAATGTTAAAAACACCAGGGGTTCGGACCAATTTTGGAGGTTCAGATGTGCTTCCGCGTGGCAGGCGCAAGGGATTGTGCACCTTGTCAAAAGTGAGCAGAACGTGAGGGTTTTGTCGCATTTCAACTACAACCACCACTACACCACACTACACTCCAAGACACCACACTACAACTACAACTACACCTTCACTACAGTCCACTACACTACACTACACTACATTCCGCTACACTCCACTACACTACACTCAATTACACTCAATTACGTTCAATTACGCTCAATTACGCTCAATTACGCTCAATTACACTACACTACACTACACTCCACTACACTACACTACATTACACTTCACTACACTACATTACACTATACTACACTCCACTACACTACACTACATTACACTACACTACACTACATTCCACTAAACTACACGACACTCCACAACACTCAATTACACGACGCTACACTACATTACACTACACTACAACTACAACTACAACTACAACTACAACTACAACTACAACTACACTACACGATTGCATTGCACCACACTACACTACGCTACGCTACGCTGCGCTACACTACACACTACACACTACACACTACACACTACACACTACACACTACACACAACACACAACACACAACACACAACACTACACTACACCGCACTACACTACACTACACCACACTACACTACACTACACTAATTGCATTACACTACACTAACTACAACTACAACTACCACTACAACTACACTACACTAATTGCATTGCACCACACTACACTACACTACACTACACACTACGCTACACTACACTAATTGCATTACACTACACTACACTACACTACACCACACAACACTACACTCAATTGCACTACACTACACTACACTACCCTACCCCACATTGCATTACATTTCATTACATTACACTCATTACACCACCACAAATGCAACTGCAACTACACTACACTAATTACACTACACCACAACCACAACTCCACTACGCTACAACACAACTACAGCTGCACTACACCACACTACATCCAGCAGTTGTGGGTGAGGTGACCGACCAGGTGACCACTGCAACCATTGCAGCCACTCCAAAAAACACAGCTCCAACCACCTTTCGGTCCATCAGTGGATTCGCTCTGCCATCCGTGATTCACAACAACCAATCTCTCCTATAGGTTTCCTATTTTTGAAACTTCCGCCACCGCCTTGTGCGGTACTACTGGTATTCAACATTCTTCAACATTGAATCCAATTTTATCCAACGTTTCATAGAACTCAGAACACAGTGTCGGTGAATTTATCAGGGATTTCCATGGACTTCTCCCTCAACCTTGACTCAAACGGAGAGTCAATGCCACAAACATCCTCAAACTACAACAAAAATGGCCAGTCAAACGAAATCATTACGTAATCACCATCAGTTCTGAAACCTTCACCAGATGACTCCACGAGGTGATACCAAGGTGATACCAAGGTGTCCCGAATCATCCCCGCTCTGGACTCCATCTCACATCAGTTCCCGAATCTCACATCTCACAACTGGGCCAAGCTTCGAACCATGGAGCAATTTCTTCTCCAGTGTTTACGACCGCGTCAAAGGCTGTGATTGTGAAACCATTGCGTCTGCGCTCGCGAAGATCGGTTCGGCCAGAGTACTTTGCATGGAACTTCACCAAGAACAAGGCAATCTGCGAGGGCTTCACATTGAATGGTTCAGCAACCCCCCCATGTTCCGAGGTTTCGGGGGAGCAATGGTCTTGCAGGGTTTCCCACAGATGGGCATGTCTAATCATGTCACCCCAATCCACCCTGTTTATAACTGGAAAATCGACGACTCGTTCAGTGGTTGACATTGTAGACATCGTGATACTATGGTTTTCTGTCGGGTTTTGGAGGGTCCAGAATATTTTAAAAATAAATAAAAACATAAATTTGCCTTGTCCCAGTCAAAGGGATCCTCCGTCTTTACAAAGAGTTCCACGTTGGCAATGGTGAGAAATTGCCGACCGCAGTAGAAGGAGATGAGAAAATTCTGCTGGATGATGGTCTGCGCGTCACCCAAGCTGTCAATGCCAGGGGTATCAGCCCACACCAAACGCCTGGCACCACGGCACCACTATGGCAGTTAGGATGGCAGGATGGGCCCAGGCTGGGTGAACTCCAAACCCTAGCTTCGCGGAATGATTTTTGAAAACCTGCCGAGGTACTGTCACAAGCTGATTGTGACTGGCTTTCAGATGTTTCAGATTTGAGGTACTGTCACATTTTTCAAAGATGGAACCCTGCCTTGCATAATCCAAGCACGACTGAGTCTTCTCATCAACACCCACAGGGTCAAGTGTGTACCATTTCCTGGTAGCCCAACAGTGGATCACAAGTTAACACCAGCCACCATGTGACCACCATGTGACCACCATGTGACCACCATGTGACCACCATGTGACCACCATGTGGTCACATGTCTAGGGGTTTCTTAAATGGTGGTTGTAACGTGGTTGAATGGGGGCTGTAAACTTGGTACAGCTGGGTAATGTGCGACAGTCGCAAGCTCTTCCGTTGCCACAGGCGCACGGTAAAATTACGTAAGAAGTGAGTCAACCGACTAAATTGATGTAAGTTGCTCATTTCAAAAGATTTGAGGATTTGTTGTTTTGGGCCGCGAGGTCAGCCTGTAAATCATTCAGAGCTACAAAGATCACCATGGCATGAAGAAAGCATTAATACGTTTGAATCCCGGTTCAGTTTGGGCCCGAGGGCTGGGAACCCATTCTGCAAATACAAAACGGTATGCCCAAGTACACTTCTCACAAAATTTCAGGACCCAACGTTCACGGACGTAATTTTTTGTTACAAAATGGCAGCCTAAGCTGACCCTAGTTACAAAATGGTACTCAAATCTTGCTTGACCCGCACCCGTTCGCATAGGGGGCATCAAACAAATCCCCCAAGGATCCCTACACAATAACCTCCAACAGCCCCGGGCCGACGCGACCACAATCCTGAGTCGCTTCCTCTTTTTCCCGCTGGTGATGTTTTCCGTGATATTTTCTGAGTAGCCAAGCCAACCCTTGAAGACAACGTGCCTATATTGTTTAAGATATGTTTTCCGACAGTTGGATGCCATGATCTGAATCATCTCGGGCATTCTCGTTGTTGGATGTAAGGCAAAAAGATTGTCATTTTGTCATTCAATTTTGTCGTCAAAAAAAATCGTTTGTATTTTTTTAATTTTGTCGTCAAATTACCAAAATTATCGCCAAAAAAAACATGAATTCTCCAAAAATAGCAAGATCTAAGAAAATCCGATAAACATTCGAAATTGTTGGTCATTTTTTCGTTTTTGCCATTTTGTCATTAAATTGTGTCATTTTTCCAAACGAAATGTTGTTTTCGTGATATCGAAAAAATAGTTGTTTAAAAACCTCTGCCGGTTGGGACGGCGACATTGGGACATTGGAATTTGATGCATTCACTATATATTCTGATATTGAAATCCTTTAGGCTATGTATGAATATTATCCATGGATTTTTGAACCCATCCAGTTTGTAAGGGGCTATGGTGGTACTGTTATCCATCTAACTTTGAATCCATCCAGTTTGTAGGGGGTTACGGTTGAACATTCTCCATCCCGCTTTGAATCCATCCAATTTGCAATGGTCATTGATTTGCTCTCTTCAGACCTCTCACAGAATGGTCGGGAATGGAGAGTAGTAAGTCCGAAAAACGGATACAAAACAGGTGGTGAGGGTGGGGTATGCCTACAATATGATGCCTCAACCCAAGGTCAATTTTTGCACAAAATGGTCGCCAAAAACCATTCTGCACCGGCCTTGAGGTATCCTATTCTGTAACAAAAACTTCAACGGGGATGCGTTGAGACCAAAACAATCGGCAAGTATAAAAAAATGTACGACTTATGACTGTTGATTTCCGAAGTTACTGGCTTGCATTCTTTAACACTAAATTCTGACACTTGGCGGCCTTCTGAGTCTACGAAAGGCAACCGTAAATTCGAAAATTCAAGTTTTCAATGTATAATTACAAGTAAAACCCGCGCGAGGCGGGTGGCGGAGTTTCCAGCAGAAGGAATGTTACGCTATAGGATCCAAAGACAAGGTTTGCCTATAGGAATTGGCGTGAAGCCTCATACCTTCCGAGCTTGGTTCTGCGAATTCCTCCTCATCTTGCTTCGTTTCTCTTCACCTGTGCCCGCCACTTCTCAGCCCATCGCAGCTCTTCTCAGGCCATCCCTGTTTTCTCAATTCTTTTCACAACTCTTCTCAACAGCTCAAGTTTTTTTCATCTCTTCCCACCTTAGCTCAGCTCTTTTCACCTCTTCCCACCTCTTCTCAACTCTTCTCAACGACTCTCACCTCTGCCCACCTCTTCTCAACTCTTCTCAGCTCATCTATACTCTTCTCACCTCTTGCCACCTCTTCTCAACTCTTCCCACCTCTTCTCACCTTCGCTCAACTCATCTCACCTCTTTCTCAGCTCATCTCAACTCTCCTCACCTCTTGTCAACTCTTCTCAACTCTTTTCACAGGGATGCTTTAAACAGAGAAACTTTTGCGCACAAAAGCTACACACAGAAGCTTTTCCACAGAGCAAGCTTTTACCCAAAGCCAGCTTTTACACAATGAAACTTTAACCTATGTGGCAGCAGAAATTGCATCTCCAAAACCGGATCTCGACGCCAAAGCGGAAAAACGACGCACTGTAGCACCACTTTTTTAAAGGAATTTTAAAAGGAAACTCACCGGCGCCAAAATGGAGAAAATCTGCTGCCAAAGCACCATTCGCAACCTTCATGCAGCCACTATAGAATACATTTACGATTCTCAGTATTGCGCACGCAGCCGCAGCAGCGAGGAATCTGGACTGGACACAGCATTCCACTGCGATCTGCACAGACTGAGCTGCAAAACACACAGCACAGCGTTAACAAAGAAGGGACAAAGTCACCGAAGTCACCTTGAACCCTCAGCTACACTGCGCGCGCAAATCGAACACGAAGCGACGGCAAACCGACGACGCCCGCACCCGTCGCGCACGCGAGCCAACTTTTCTCCGCAAAGGAACCTCCGTTTACCCGAAAAAAAACGCAATGTTTCGCGCAAATCCTAACATTCAAATCACATGATTGATGTAGCAGTTCCACTGCGATCTGCCAGCTGCGACTTGCAAAACACAATACAATCGCAGCACATTACTCAAGAACAAGTACCTTTCGAGAGACCTTGCTCTTCTATACTCTGTTCTACTCTACTCTTCTCTACTCTACTCTTCTCTACTCTACGCTGCTCTACTCTACTCTTCTCCACTCTTCTCTTCTACACTCTACCTCTACTCTACCTCTTCTCTACTTCATGCAGGTGCCCACTGGACACAATGATCTTTGAGCTAGTGAGAATGTGACTTCATGATCTCTGAACGCAGGTGTGAACTGGACACATTAATCTTTTGGCGAGTGTTCACTTTCCGTAGCTCGGAGTTTCCTCAATGAAGCTGCCTTTGATGAGTGTGCTGTGCCGATTCACAAATAATTTTGATTTTCTCGATCTACGGCGTGAAAGTATAAAAAGAAATATTGCGCATGACCAGCACAGTAAAAGTTTCACTCTTCTCACATTCCCATCCTCTCTGATGCTGCTTTGGGGTCGGGGCAGGGATTTCTGCACATCCAAGATCGTTCCCTCATTTTACAATCTGAGTTGGCGACTCATACTCATACTGACTTTTTGGCCGCAGAATGATGGAATTTGAGGATTCCAAGCCGGTTATATCCCGTAAATGCCATAGTGGTCAGTGCTGAAATGATGTCATGTAAAAGAGCTTAAAACAGTACTTCTTGTACTTCTTGTGTTCACCCGGCATAATCTGGGTCAATGTCTGGCTCCAAGATGGACCCCGATGGACTCCATGCCCCGCGAAAACGCCCAGTGTCCGATTGATCGCAACACCGTTGATGCTCATGTTGACATAGGGAGCATCCCTCCATCCAAAGGCCTCTGTTTGAACCCACTGGTCCACCTCGCCAGAGCTGAAAATGGTGGTGAATGGTGGTGCGTGGCGGCGAGGATAGTTATGGCGATTCGGCGATAGTGAGAATAATGGTCTGGTATGTCTAACACTCGGCCCATGTTCAAACTGGTTGTCATATGCCGTGATGTCATGCCTCTTGTTGAGACCATATGCCTTTGCGTGCGATCACTCGAAGTCCATTCCTCACCACTCAGCGAATGCAAATTCAATGTTCTAAGAACTTAAGATAATTTGCCTAAACCCCTGACAAGAAAACCATGACGTCCGGCCCGCCTCCTGTTGAGTCGTGGATGCGGAAGCTGGTTGTTATTGACCGGTGACGAAGACCAGGCGGTTCGGTTGGGTCTCAAACTCCGCCTCTGTCACGATGTAGTCTGTTCCGAAGACCACCTGCCACCGACTCCAGCCGGTTCTCATCGATGGTGCAGATCGAAGCAGGGCACCATCATGCGCCATGACAGTCAACATGTGTACTGGGTAGAATCGGGTTTATAGCTGTATCAACATCATAGAAAGGGGCTCATAATTCAAGTTGGAAGTGTGTGTGATCACCATGTTCCCAGCCCTAGACAGGAATCCGGTTGCATATTTTCAAATCACTCAGCAATGGATTTTGGCAGCGTGGCTAAATGCCTGGGCTGCAATCCAATGATTCTGATGATTGTCAGAGTTCGTTCCCACATCATTGTGTGGGATTCTTGGTTTTCCGTTCCGGATCCCGCCGCGTCCTCCTCCTTCTCTTCCTATCCCCCTCCATTGTCACACACAACATTGTCCTCAGTCTGTCACATACCCCTCACTCACACAACACTGTGACACAACTTTGCGCAGATGGGAGACTGTCTTGGGTTGGATGGGCGCCACGTTTGCATGGGAGGCATGGCATTTCCTCCTCCTACGGGCTGATAGGATTTGCCCGGATTTGCCTTTGCCTGGGAGGTGCGGAATTTCTACGGTTTGTTGGTTGGCTGCATGGGGTGGACCACTGGGCTCTCTGCGAGCACTATGCGCTTTCGATTTCGCATAGCTTTTCGACTTTCATGTTCTGCAGATTCGTGGCGCTGATGTTGTGAAGTTTTCCTTTACTGCGCAGGGCGCCTGGTTGAGTTTTCTAGGACGTCAATCCAAGTTTGGCCTGTACCAAATCAGTGCCTCCTGCACAGAACTGCGCCGTGCAGGTGCCTTACAGTCCGATCACGTATTCGAGAGCTCCGTACCAGATTGATGCCTCGTGCAAAATCCTGCGTCATACCTCTTTTGCACCGTCTTGTCGCATACAGCAGCTCCACGTTATGTTGTCTATTGTTTGGGTTTTCCTGCCTACTTTGCACGTGCTTGTCACAGCTGCCCTTCTCTCTCCGAGCTCACTGATACCGCTGACTGGGTACTTGTGCTTCACCGAATCCTTTCGGGCCAAACGTTCCTCGAAGAGCGATGACAGCAAAGCTCACGGGCGAATCTAATATGTTTGTTGGGGGGTGTACAGCTTTGTCACACACAGCGTGCGTCAGTCATATCTGCGCAAGTGCGCAGGACAGATCTTGAATCGCACCGTCTTCTTTCCCTGTCCATCTTCCACCTCCTTCTTACTCTTTCCTCACCGCCCATCTTGGTTTGTATGGGGCTTTCCGGCCCTTCATTTTTCATTGTTGATCTTCTCCCTAATATGTGAACAATGTGCTGGGTGATGCACTGACATATCATGCCAAGGACAAATGACGCGACGACATGATGATAACGAATTGGTGAGAACGAGCTGATGATGACGAGCTGATCGAAGGAAAATGTGAAAAGGCAAAGAGATACTATGGAAAGACTTCGCGAAATATTTCCAGACCGGCTTCAATCCATCCATGAGTACAAGTCCTACACCATCTTACATCCTAGTCCTGTAGTGTCCAAATCTCACTTACCACTGCCAAAATTCAACCGGGAGTCTCACTGGGCACTGCCAGTCTACCGCGAGCTCCAGATCTCAAGGGCACTGCCGGACCCCAACTGCGAGCCCCAGATCTCAGTGGGCACCGCCGGACCTCAATGCCAATGTCAGAATATGCCAGAATAGAATATCAGAAGATATATACCACTGTACCACATATACTTCCAGATGATACCTCAGAAATTATGACCAAATGATTGATCAAGGTGGGGATCACTCGAAGTAAAGTAATCAGATGCTTTTAAATCTTTTAAGGTGTTGCAACGTTGCGCAGCCATGATTGAAACCTGACACGGGGCAGGAAAACAGTGGAGCCAGGACCCAAACATCCCGACATCGCCCCCTGGCCTTCCACCAGTTGTAATCTCCACGCTTCACTTCCACCACCTACGTGGTGAAACATAATGAGGAGTGGCAGGGTATTGGTGAGGAAATGGGTGCTCCAAGACTTTCACTTCAGCGCACACTGAGAAAAACAAATTATAAAACAACCATGCTCACATGTCCGCTGGAGCTGAACAAAAGCCATGTTCGCAAAATGGAAATCAATTACGAACTGCCCAGACGGCCGAGACTTGGCAAGCCATGCATCTCTACTGCTGGAAGGACCTACCAATGTAACCCGGACTATCAGGGAACTAGGCAAGGGGGCCGCAGCGGAAGGGTGCCCTGTCCTTGTGGTAGCCATCATGCTGTGGGAGAACGACTAAATCAAGAATCATTCATCAATGACAGCGCTTTATAATTACCCGTCACACCAACAGTGTGATCGGCAAGGCAAGGCAGCACTTGGTTCAACGGCTCCACCTTGCCAGTGCCACGCTCGACGGCCTGCACGGCCCGCAGGAAGTCGATGAACCATCCGTCCTGGGCGATCTCAGGAACACATGGAACACATGGGTGATTTATGGTGACTTTGGATGTTTGAACTGATTTGAACCCGTGTTTATCGTGTTTGTGAACCATTGAATGAACCATCTTTCTCAAAGTTCGGATTTTGCGAAAATCACCCACTCTCCCACAAACATGCCCATGGCATCCAGCTACATGCTGAATCTCCAAACCAAAACCAGCCAAAAACTATCAAGTGAGTCGACTGAATTGCATGGAGGAAAAGTTCATCCATATGTGCAAGTGACGGTGAAACCATCGAAAACCAGCGGCCATGTTTCTATATCTTCTAATCCTGGTCATGAACGTTCTTGGAATTCGTATTAACCAAGCAGGATGTCCAAACCTCGTGGTGAAACACCCCAAAATAATCCTGGTATACCTAGTGGACCCAATCATTTAATCAATCCCAATCCATTGAAACACGGATCCTCTGCATGCCTCATCCCTTAGACCCCGGTTGCTTTCCACCGGAGTTCATATAGTTTTTCGGTGTATCGTACTTTTCCGCGCGGCTGTGGCATTCCAAAATCTCCGTGAAAGGTTTGAAACTTAGAAAAAGACTATTTCAAGTCTGATTATCTGATAATATTTGAGGCCAGCTCTAAGCAGAGCCCGCAGATGCGTTCTAGGAGATGCGATGATGTTTCAATGTTGTGTTTCAATGGTTTCTTTCTGCGGCATACATTGTTGTTGTTGAGTCACTGCAGCTTTGGACCACCCTCCCGCGCTCACCTGCCCAATGTCCATTGACATCATCTCTCCCTCTCGAAACCTCATTGTTTTGACACATCTTTCTCTCGGATTCTCGACATATCTTCATTTTGGAACTGATCTTTTCTTTACAGCGCTCTCCTCTGATCTCCTGTTCTCTTTCTTCAAATTTCTTTCTCTTGGCATTCTTTTCTGGTGACATCTCTTTCTTGCTTCTTGACCTTTCTCTTTCGCGATCATAGTTTTACAGTGAGAAAAAATCCTTGATCTTCCGTTTTTGAAGAAAGCCTCGCTCGAAAACTGGGCCGGAGACCTGTATACGGAGGTGCGTTCTCGCTTGTGCAGCGTGTCCGTTTTTGGGGTTATCTAATGTTTGAAAAGCATGCGCAAGATGTTTGTCACTGGAAGGTGACAGGCGCAAGGCTTTGCACCCTTTTTCATCCGCATGGCACGTTGTGAAAACGTTGGCAGGCGCGGGTCGCAGTGAGAAGCGCTGAGGTCATGTTTCGTGGCAAGCGCAGTTGGTGAACTTGGACTACGTTTCAAAAACTTTCAAAATATCGAAACGTTTCGTGACGTTTCGTGAGACTGTTTTGGGCCGGATGTGATAATTCGGATGCCTTCGCTTCATTTTTCTTGTGGCAGGCGCAAGAATGTTTGCACAAGATGCTGAAAATCGGAAGTCCTTTTGGGACTGTGACGCTCACTCCCTGCTGCTTCCGACGTCGGCTTTTTTGACTCTGGCTGTGGCGCCCTGCTAATTTTGATATCCCTCGTGCTTTTACTGGATCGATTTGGCAACCGTCTCATCCCTTTGTGAGTGCTTGATCGCTCTCATTGTGGCGCGGTGCTCATTTTAGCTCATTTTCATTCATTTTCCAAGATCCTGGTGCACAGATCTTGTGAGATTTTATCAGAGGTCGTGTATAATAGGTCACCTCGGGACCTCAGTTCTATCTCGCGCACATCCAGAAGGTTTCCCATTCTAAGACCAATGTACTTCTCCACAATCACTGACACGCCTTCACTCGAAAAAACACATTTTTCTCGCACTATCCAATCTCATCCACGCCCAACGTGCCTCAACTCTTCTCACCTCACCTCTCCTCGCCTCGCATTTTCTGAACACTTCTCACCTCCTGCTCACCTCTTCTCAGCTCTTCTACTGTTTTTTCTGCCACGCTTCCGTTTCATACACATGGATCCCAACATGACATCCCAGGCATCGTCCCCGGCTGCGTCAGCTGCCAGGAGCCAAGATGCCTTTCGGAAGCCATGTGCTGCGACGCGCACCGAGGCTCCAATGGACATCTGGTCGAAGGCTGGGCGATCCATGGGAGCCTTGCGAAGCAACATGGTTTCGAAATGTTTCGGACACAAACGGCTGAGACCGATGGAGACCGTTGAGACCGTTGAGACCGTGGCATAGTTGGCATACCCTGAGTGCGCCAGTGGATGCCAGTGTCCATTTGATATATTTGATGAGCTGATGATGTGACTCTTCCCTGTCGCATGTCTTGATATGACAATGTCGTAAGCATTCTCCGGAATTCTTCAAAAATTCATGACCAAACGGACCAAAAGTGACAAACGCGCCTTGTTCTTCTCCCACAGCACTCGCATCACCTCGCCCCAGAGCATACCTGTCCGGACTCGGATGGTGTCATCCTTGGACTGCTGGGATCCGTTGGGATCCGTTGGGATCCGTTGGGATCCGTTGGGTCTCGTGTTTGGTCGGTGGCTTGGATCTCCGTCATATGACTCCCGATTTGAATATGATGCGGTTCCAATGAAATCAAGGGGTCAAATGCTCACGGCCACAACGATCAAATGACACCAGTGATCTGTCACACTCAGCATAGCTGGAAATGTTAGGAACTTGGAAAACAACATGAAAGGTTTTGATGACCATTCAAAGCTTGAGAACAAGGTTGTCACGCTACCATCTCTGGGCACTCTCTGCGCAGCAAAGGGGCAGTCGTAGAAACAACACCCGACCAATTGGCACCCAAAGCAATGATCCTCTCTTCTGGACGGGCATACTGCAGATTAGTGAGGTAGGCCCAACATTCGCCAACTGCTATCGGCGGATGCGGTCCCTGAACACCAGGGGGCAACAGCACCAGTGTTTTGGCAGAAAACCCTGTTCTTGGATTTAGGACGATGACAACGAAAGCTATCGACATGAGCGCCGTGTTCAAGGTCCAGCGTCTTACATGCCCAACTTATCCAACTATTCAAGAAAAGGACACCGACAGTCAGTCTATTTAGCAAGAATTGCTAGGAATGAATCATTCAACCATTTAATCCTGGATAAATTCACTCTCGACATCTCTGGCCAGTTGATATAATATGTCCGGTCCGAAAGGCACCTTGCATAGCTCAACGATCTTCTCCAACGAGTTGGGCTCTGCGATTGGCCAAATCCCCAGCCGTAAGCGACGGCGAAGGCTCTGGGAAAAGCTGGCGTACAGCCACCAAGCACCGAAGAGACCTCCAAGCACGGTCCACTCTGCATTTTTGCTTTTCTTACTTTACGATCAACCGCCTAGAAATGCCTAAATTTGCATTCTTTGTTTGAAACTCTTCGGGCCGGGATCGTTTTAAAAGGGGTTGCCTGAAATCCTAAACCACCAATCGGCCGGAATTACGCCAGCATAGACCCCAGATAGGAAAAGATATTTTTTGGTGCCAACCAATTGAATCCATCAGGGCCCAACGCCCACGCTGCCATAGACATCTCGCAGCCAGCCCCCGCAGCGACATCAGCACCCAAGCTTCATAGCGCACACCGCATTAAGACAGCAGTACCCTGTAGCAGCACCCAAGTTCCTGGCCAGAATTGGGACTTGGCAAGGGGTTGAAGCTGCAGCGATCGATGCCTTTCAAGCTTGGGTTTTAGGGCTGAAGCTGCAGCGACGGGTTTCAAGCCTGAACCCTTTGACACTAGTACCCTGCACCCGAACGGCACCGTGCAGCGGCACCGGCAAGCCAGCTCCACACCGCACACACCACTCTAACAGCAACACCCTGAAGCAGCACTTTGTAGCGGCAACTTGCAGCAGATCAGCACGCCAGCAGCAGCACCCTGCAGCAGCACCACATTAACAGCGGCACCCTGCAGCGGCACCTTGCAGCGGTGCCACACACCGCTCTCACACCACCACCCTTGCCGGCTCCAGAGCGCACACAACTCTGACAGCAGCACCCTCAAGCAGCACCCTGCAGCAGGACCAACATGCCCGCTCCAAAACGCAGACATGCAACTCCTCCTATGCTTCAAATAAGAACCCCAATAGGTTCGCTGTCTGGGAAAAAAAACATGGTGACCAGTGACAAGCACAAATCTAGGAAGCGTTGAGCCAACTGTAAGAAACACGCGGGAATCTCTCTCAAAGACGTACCAAAGGAGAAAGTGAAAACCAATGGTACCACATTTCGCAGGGTGAATGTCCATTTACCAGTTTCGGATTCACTTGGGGCTCGCAGTGTTTTGATCCATCCCCATTTCTTTGTTGCGCATGTGACACATGTCTCTTACCACCGAGGCGCAAAGAACAGCCCCGAGCACGATCCAAATCCAGGGGGAAGATGGCAAGTCTGCCCGGTAGACGATCAACGCCGCACCAGCCGCAGACAAAAGGAGGCCAAGTGTACATCCAAAAGGCGCATTGAAGCAGGGATCAAACCTGCAGAAAGGAACAATTGCAAATCTGGAGAGCCGCTGAGGCAGCTCCCCAAAAAGCAAAACGTGATCCTGGCAGGGTTGGAGCCCTATCAATTCTTCATTTCATTTTGGAGATGGCTGCCATGGAGGTGCAAAATGGTGCAAACAATTCGGAAGTTGCGGTTTTGACCCGCCCCGGCAAGTTTCCACGTTTTTCCTGAGAGTCACTGAGTCACTGATAACCCCACTTGATCCCACTCAGATCTGGCCCCACCTGACGTACCAAGGCTGCCCGTGAAATTGCTCAGGCGCCAAGGGCTCCGACATGGCAGCGCTTCAAAACAAAATTCGACGCTGGACGGAAGGGGAGCTGAAAACAGCATGGCGCGACTTCGTTGGCATGCACTCGCTTCTCACATGCCTCTCACATGCTTCTCACATGCTTCTCATATGCTTCTCACTGTGCACCCTTTCGACGCCAATTTCTTGGTGCTTTGTAGCCCCAGTGACGTTGGTTCTTCCGCTCACACCTATGATAAATCTGATCTGATGCCAACATGGGAAGATCAGCAGGCCGCAGCTCAAGAACTCATGCGCACTGCTGCCGGAAAAGCTACCATCTTCCCCACTCAACATCTGTGACAAATTGGATGCAAAAACCAAAAATGTATCAATCGCAACTCAAGAAATGCAGCACGGTGATGCCAGAAAAGCTAGAGTCTTGGCTGCTGCTCAAATTGGCATCTATTACTATTCGCATACTTCTGCTCGCAATATGGATGTGGCTGTGTTTAAACTCATTAGACCTCTTTTTTGGGCGTTCGCGAGGTTGTTGCGCTTCTGATTTTCAGAAGCAAAAGCAACTCAAATTCATGTGTTACGTATGATTGTCCGAAATGACCATTTGTATCCGTCTGCCCTATTGACAGGATGGGGTCATGCAGCATTCCAAACATTTGTGGAAGGAAGCTACGACATAGACCTTTGGAAGGAAACACGGCCTGAACCAAATGCGGCAACAACTTAAGAAACTAGCCTGTTCGAAATGGCTCAACAAACCATGCTGACTCCTTCCAGCAAACTGGCTGTCTGTATATGTCTGTATACCAGCACCCGCTTGCCCTATTGACCGGATCTCGTGCAGTGACGCAATCTTCCAGACATGTGTGAAAGGAAGCTACGACATAGACCTTTGGAAGGAAAGACAGTCTGAACCAAATTTGGTAGCGACTTGAGGAATTCTCCGTCAAAACAGCCATGATGATTCCTCCCAGACCTGTCCAGCAGCCTTCATGGCCGCTGGTTCCGCTGGCGAACACAAAAGTGCCCAGTGGTCTCAACTAAACTCCGCAAGCATCAGATGCACCAAGATGCACCAACACTCCTTGAAGATTTGGCTGCATCAGAACAGCCAAAACTCCGGGGAATGCTGGGAAAACACAAACTTAAAAACAGCCAAAGCCATGGTTTGAACACAATTTCTTTCGAGGAATCTCCCTCTCTTTCCTTCGCGGCAGTACATTTCTCTGCCCAGATCTGCTCAGCTCTGCCCAGCAGCCTTCATGGCCGCTAGTTCAGCGCTGGTTCAGCTGGGCAAAGCACGATTCAGTGCCTGGTGGTTTCAACGATCCCAATGGATTGAAAAAGCACGGATAATCATCCCACATGGGGGTTGGTTTTATTACGAACTCCCACCATTTGCCCCGCGTCTGGAAGAGTTCAACGGGATCATCGTCGTCCTTTATTACTAGTCACTATCTCTGAAACCACCAGCTAGTACAGCCAAGTACGATTCTATACACTTCGCAGATGCACCAAGACCCCTTGAAGATCAGAACGTCTTCAGAACGTCTTCAGAACGTCTTCAGAACGTCTTCAGAACGTCTCGCTGGCATCGATCCAAAACTTTGGATGATCAATCAGCTGGATGTTGCCAGCATCGGCCACAACATATTTTCCAGGATGAAGCGTGCCACTCTTGATCTTCAGGTCATTGTAGAGCATGTCCTGAAGTTGTCTGAATGGCAATGGTTTGGCCAAAAAAAACTGAACCCTGTGCATGTGAAAATGTGTGTTTCTGCCCTGAAAACAAACTCCCGGCTGCATCCCTACTGGGGTGCAATAGACTGAAAGCAATTGATGGTGGGGCCGACAAGAAGCAAGCAGAAACGGTCTGTTTTGCATCAGTCACGAAGTTTGAAACCGCCAGAAACTGGTGGAACAGCAGTTGTAGAAATGAGAAACTCTAGTCTTGAAACTATAGTTTGTTGCTCGGAAACAAACGTAGGAAACTAAGGTGTTTACTCCCGTATGCAAAACAACTTGGCACCTGGCAGAAAAAGTGTGTTTCCAGGAAAAAGAAACGGAAACTAAGGTTTCGTCAAATAGTTTGTTTTCCGGGTGGAAACAACCTCTCTGCCTACTAGTTTCAAACAAACGTTTCACCCCAACTAACTAACTAAACTTGCCGAAAAAAAAGTTTGTTTTCAGGGTTTTGAAACTAGCCGTGTTCAGTTTGTTCTGAGTTTTGGGGGTTGAAACAAACGGTTCCCAAAAGGTTTGTTTTGAGCCCGGAAACTAACCTTATAGGGCGAAAATGTTTCTTTTGGTCATCAAAAACCTTTGTTTGAGAGATCCCGGTTTTTCTTTCCTACTGGGGGCATGTACCACCACAGGAAAATGGTTAGTTTGCCCTGTTAAAACAAGCCTTTCCTTTCGTTGCAAAACGTATGTTTTCCGCAATAAAAACTAAACCCTGTG